TTAGTTTAAGTTTTGTAGTTGGCAATTTTTAAGTTTAATCGGCTGATTGAGTTAACCGGAGATGGTGAAACTAACTCTTAGGCCCGGTTCCACAACTCGAGTTAATCCGAATTTAATACGTTAAACTCGGGTTAACTCTAGTTGTGAAACAGGCCCTTATAGTTTAAAAAATAAACTCCGGGCAAAATTGGGCAATTTTGCAAAAGGAAATATCGTCTTAGAATCCACTCAAGAATTCGATATTTTAAAGACAAATGTTTATTTAGAATCACTCTATATATAAAAACAAATGTAAAAATTAAAAAGGTTTTTCTAATAAAACATATTTATATACGCATATTATATAAAGACCAATTAAATTTATCGAAATGGGCAATTTCCATATATACGAATGCAAATTAACGAATGGAAAATATTTTTATCGCTGGAATAGAGAATATACTAATGATAGCAAAACAAGTTGCGATGCAAAAACATCATTATGTATGGAAAATAGATAAGAATAGATACATAAACAAATTGTATAAATTAATAATTGTAATTAATAAATTGTATAATTGTATAATTGTATAATAAATTGTAATTAATAAATTGTATAATTGTATAAATTAATAATGAAGTTTAATTATATAAGAAGACAAATGTCTCTTCATATTGTCATAACATTAAATAATAGTGTAGTCGTAAAATCTTGTTCTGTCTAAATTATGAAATAAGTACATATCATCTTGATTTTAATTCATACCTTTGTTACGATTGCAAGTCCAGTATCTGCTAATCTGGAAGACTGCAAATGTTGGACATTAGTATCGAATTATAAATGCTGTCTCGGAACACGGATTCTATCTTGTTTTTCTCAACTTTATCGATTAGCGTTTCCTTAACTACTAAACTTCTTTCTCTGCACAAACGCAATTTAAAAAATCAAGCAAGTTTCCACAAAATAATTTTATTTTTATTGGAAATAAAGTATAGATAATAAAAGTCATTATGCGTATAGATAATAAAAGTCATTATGCGAAGAGCATATAAGTTAGTAATAAATACGATGACACAATCAATTGAAATTCAGTTATTATCAAACCAACGTGGCTCGATGACATTGCATTTGACAGGTGGCAAAGAGATCGGCATGTTCGAAGGTAACGACGTGGGTAAAAATTCTCCAGGCCATAAATGAAGAGCATCGAAGAACAACAGACCAATTAAGACACCACGCAATAAAGGTGCAAGAACATTCGACAACCGTGCTTTGCTGGCCTTTTGCGGCCAGATAAACACGAGTCGGGAATCCTCTGTAAAAAAAAAAGAGTGATATGATTTATTTATTTCCGTCGTACATTCATAATAAAAAAAATCATTAATAGTAACTTCATTTTTTTATTTTCGCTCGATATTGCAAGAGATGTGCTCATATTTGTTTGCCGCAATTATTTTATCTACACATGCGAATGTAAATATTTGCGTTAGAATGAAGGCAACATCATGACTTGCTTGGCACGATGCGTGCTCCAGATTTTAATGTCTCGATAATCTTTCGACCATTACAGAATTGTTAAGTCATCGAAAAAGAAAACTAACTACGAATTGCATATCTAAGAAATAAAAAAAATAAAAATTACATAAAAGAAACATAATCATAAATATATCGGAAAATGCTGATTTTTGTACTCGTATGAATCATTGACTTTCTGTTTTTTAATCTTTCATTACGAATCACGATCAATACCTATATCATTCTGCATTTCTGAAGTATACTAATTGCGATTGATAGATAGAAAAAAAACGTCGAAGAAAGAATTTGACTGAGGACACGAATGTCAGATTTCTTTTGTTTCGTACATTTTCGATCTATTCGATGCATAAAGATCGATTCAGGTTTACTTTGACATCTCACGACTATCGAAATATCAAATTTTTAAAGATGTCTAGCTAATGATCTTGTCGGCGGAAGCTGTACATTTCCATCCGAAACTGCCAACTATCCGCTCTCTAGCGGGATTTACTATTTCTATTTTTTTGTATCCCAATTCGAAAGTTTCAAGTAAAAACAATTCACGAATTCTCAGTAATTTTATCATCATATTTTGAAACGTAATCCTATTCACCGAAATGTCAGCTAAAACTAGTGAGTAACTTATTTAATTAACCTTTAGTTTAGAAAAATAAATAAAGAGTAGAACAAGAGTAAAAGGGAGAGATAAAATGTATTGCTCAAGATTTGAATTAATTATTCATTAAATAAATTATTCATTCAAATAAATTATTCATCAAATAAAACTGGTACTTCTTGCTTTTTTGTGAAGGTAAAACTCTTAACTCGTCTTTGGCAAATGTTGCATCAGAAATCGATGAACGTCGGTGTAACTTGATTGACCGTCACAAAAATCTTCAAGGCAAGATCACTACGATGGAACGCTCCATTCCGGCATTGATGGCATACAATCTATGGATAACCGAAAGCCGAGACCATCGCCGAGATGTGTCGTGCGAAAAAGTGCGCGAAATCGTGAATAAATTATCACCGCGCAGCCGGATCCCGCCGATAGAGATCCGGTGACGCCTTCATCGGAGACGCCAGTTGCATGTAGCACGATTGACTTCACGATTTCTTTTTTGCCATGTGCTTTTTTTGCCGTTTGATATCGCATATTCGCCGTTATATCGAACAGGCCAAACAATTGTAAAAATCTTAGGAAAATCATAATTACCGGACAAAATAGCAATTAATCGTGATGGACAAATTTTCGACAGAATTAGTGCTTCGTTTGACCATGTAAAGGAGTGAGCGCCATAATTATCACGCAGCCGGATCCCGCCGATAGACTCCTCGCCGAATTGAAGAGCACGGTGGACGACCTTCATCGAGAGACGGCACAGTTGCATGTACGGCACGATTGACAAATTCGACGATAAGAATTCTGGGTAAATTTTGCCAGTGTGCTTTTTTTAGCGCGTTAATGATATCGCAATAATTCGCGCGTTATCATCGAACAGAGCCAAACAAATTGTAAAATTAAAGAAGAAATCACTACAAATTCATGTGATTAAAAATCGATAATTAATCGTCGTGACAATTTTATAATTTAATTTTTTCTTGTTAATGCAGAATAAAATCATAGATGCGGATGTAAAATTGGAAGAAACCGGTATGGAGTTGGAATCCTTAGAATTGGCTAACAAGGAGATAGAGGAACGACTAATAGAATTACGAAATGAAATTACGAGACACAGTACACCTAGTTTGCACTCTATTCACTCTGATGATTTGATATGTTTGAGAAAAATTCGTCAGCTCGCCGAAGAGGAATTGAAGCTGAAGAATTGTATCAAAGAGCTCGAGAACAAGGAAATCATGTATAGAAGAGAAATGAACAAATTACTGTCCTGCAACAAATTTAAACGCGGAAAAATGACAGAAACGGGAAAAAATAGCAAACTATGTTCATTGAAAAATCGCAAACACGAAGCATATATGACAAAGAGAAAATACGTTTTTAAAGATAAGGGACGAGTGAGTAAAAAAAAATGTAAATTACGTAAGATTATCTATCCACAATTCCAATTCTTTTGATTTAGAAAGCTTGTTGTTTATGTACGACATCAATGAAATTAATCGGTTACGAGGAAACATTAAAGGAATCATCTAAAGGGCGCAAAAAATTGTGTCCGCCGCCTTCATGCTGCATCCCGCTGGACAATCGCACAATTAAATCTCATAGTTGCAAAGTATGTTGCAAATCTTGCCAACGAAAAAACTCTACCACTATATTCAAATCCAAGTCTCCTTATGAATCGAGGAATTCTTCTTGCGAATCTCTACATAGTGTCGTTTCGAAAATAGGCACGTATTCGCTTATGTTCTATATCGGCTTATTTTCGACATTGTAAATTTTATCTGGAATATTTTACATAAAATTATTCATAAAAATTTGAATACTTCTTCTTTCGCATTAATATTGATAAGTGCAAAAGTACGTACACATAAATTTTCAGATGTAACACAATCGTTCAAACGAATAATACAATCTTCCGTATCGTGTAACCTCGGCAAGACGTGCAATGAATGTAAGACTCCCGCTGCATGCCAACAAATTAATATCTGCAAATGCCAAGAAAAAAGCATACGCGAATCATCAGTCGCACCCTGTGATTGTAGTGATACACTATTATACAAGATTCGTCAATCAACGACTTCGGGGATGCTCAGTTTGAGATCGGGAGACAGCGATAGCGACGATGAGTTTTGCGAGTGTTGCACTTGTGGTTGCGAAACCGAAAATTTATCAATATAATTAATATTTAAATAATTATATCAGTCATAACAATAATAAGTGCTCATTATGCAAAATCTTTATATACTGTGAAAATATCTTTATTTTAACACACAATTACATACGCAAGTTTTGCATGATATAATCAATTTAAAAAAACTTGTATATTTTTGCAAAATAATAATATTGAATTTATCAGTTTTCAATACACATAAAGAAAAATTCATATATTATAAATATATCATATAAAATAATAATATACCATAAACATAAATGCATAAGCAATAGTATCAATAGAAAATGTATTTTAATTTGAAAAATTTAACGAAACACACATGGATATAATATATCTATTTTTAATTTTTACTTGCTCACTTAAAACGGAATGTTGAAAGGATAATAAGGACTATCATCCGCACTGAAAATAAAAAAAACGTAAAAACATTAATACATAATTTGAGATTTGACACAATTACTAATTCTAATTAATACATTCTATAGATACTATATTCTAATATACTGTATATATACACTATATGTATATAAAGGTTTAAAATATCTTTATATATCTTTAATAATGATAAACGAGTAATAACAAAATCTTACCCAAGTAATGGACAAATTCGTCCATTGCAATCGAAGCTGTCAATATATGCAATATCATCGGATGAAAGTTTAAAGTCGAATACTTCGCTGTTTTGAGCTATTCGTAACTTGTTGATTGACTTGGGAATCACAATATGGCCACGATCCAACTATAAACAATTTAATAATTATTTGAATCTTATATTAAGAATTTAGAATTTTATGATATTTATGATATAATTGATAATACTAAATTATCAATTATATCATAAATATCATAAAATTCTAAAATATAACGTAAAGATTTGTAATTATATTTAACATATAATTTATTAGAAAACAATAACATACTTGATAACGTATAAGTATTTGCGCAGGTGTCTTATTGTATTTTTGTCCAAGCTCAATTAATTTCTTATCTTCCAGCAATTTTGGATCATCCGGTTTGGCCCATGGTCTGTCTGGTGAGCCTAGTGGACTATATGCAGTAATAAGAATGCCCTTTTCTTGGCAAAAAGCTGATAATTTTTTCTGTGTTAGGTATGGGTGACATTCAATCTAAAAAAAAAAAAAAAAAAAAAAAAAAAAAAAAAAAAAAAAAAAAAAAATAAATATCTAAAATATAACAAAAATGTTTAAAATTGTTTTTTTTTTTTTTTTTTTTTTTTTTTTTTTTTTTTTTTTTTTTTTTTTTTTTTTTTTTTTTTTTTTTTTTTTTTTTTTTTTTTTTTTACATAAAATATTAGTTTTTTTTTTTTTTTTTTTTTTTAATGAAATCTTTTACTATTTTTTTTTTTTTTTTTTTTTTTTTTTTTTTTTTTTTTTTTTTTTTTTTGTATGTATGAAGTAAGATAATCGAAAATAATGACTAATATTTATGAAAAAAAAAAACAAATAAAAAAAAAAAAAAAAAAAAAAAAATAAAGAATAAAAAATGTATTATAAAAAAGTCATGGATTGACTGATTAGAGCATAAGGTCAAATGATAAATCAGTATATAATCTTCTTAACCTACAACTTTTTGGAACACTTTCTGTAAAACGTATATTTCCAGATATTTAGGGTTCCAACTTTTTAGACCTGTATATATATATATATTATATATATATATATATATATATATTATATATATATAATTTTATAAATTAAACGATTTAACAAAATCTCATTATATATGTTAGATCAAACTCTTTTATTCTTTGAAAATAAAATCCTCTTTTTTTCTATTTTTATAATTCCAATGTAATATTAGTACAATTATATTGAATTATGTTACACTAAAGATTAGTTTCTTTGAGTTTTCTTTAATTATTTTATAAATTTTTTAAATTATCATTTTTAATTTACCTGGTTTGTAACAGGTTTAACTGAAGTATTCTCAAGTAGCCTAGTAATTTGTTCAGAATTGAAATTACTAACTCCAATGTTTTTTGTCAGACCTTTAGCAAGCAAACCTTCCATAGCCTTCCATGTATCTACATAATCTACATCACTCAGGATAATGGCACCTTCAGGAGTTGTAGGAAAAAGAGGTCCACCTTCTTTATATCCAACTGGCCAATGGATTAAATAAAGATCTATATAATCAAGACCAAAATCAGATAGAGATTGCTTGATGGCTGGTTCGACCAGATCAGGTCTGTGGAAAGTATTCCACAGTTTACTAGTAATGAACAGATCCTCTCTCTTCACGACACCTTCTGCTATTTTTGCCTGGATAGCAGCACCAACTTCCTTCTCGTTGCGATACGCGTGAGCACAATCAATATGTCTGTAGCCGATATCAATAGCATCTTTTACAGCTTGGGTAACTTCACCTGGCTTAGACTGAAATATAGAAAAGTCAAATTAAAATAAATACAATCTTGGACTATCTTGAAATAAATTCTCTCTAAAGAAAGATTTCTATAGTAGAAATATTTAATATTATTTTTGTGTATTATGCTTTGGGAGAATAAGATAATAACTATATTATAATTAATAATAATAAGGAAATTAATTCACTCTTTTCTTAAATTTGATAAATATATTATAAAAAATGCAAATTATACTTTAATACACAACGTATATTATTATCACAATGTACATGTTATTCACAAATTGGCACATGATCAATTATGTAATTAGTTACATAATATATTTACATTTGTGTACGAACAAATAAAAACGCAATAAAAAAAACATGTTAGCATAACATGTTAGCATAACATGTTAGCATAACATGTTAGCATAACATAATTAGTGCAAAAATAGTATGCAAGATACGCAAACCGTATCTTATATCACATTGGCGACCGATAATTTTCTACAAAATTTATATTGATATATTTTCCTCGTCTCTTATCTTGCTTAACAACAAGGCCAAAAATGATTTAGTTCGTAAATATTGATGATAAGAACTACTATTCGAATAATTTCTCATACAGCAAATGTTTCTCTCTCTATGAATTATTCATAAAAAAATTTTACAAGATTCAATCTAATAACGAAAGTAAACAAGTACGTATGCCGGTTAGCAAAGATGTCCGAATCGCAAAATAACAAAATATAAGAAATGCTTACCTTCCAGGTCCCCAAGCCGAAAATTGGTACTTCATTGCCATTGTAAAACTTCACTTTGGGTGCGTTCAAAACCATTTTTTATGGATATCAACGCCGGTTCATTCGCTTGTCACTCGTCACTATGCAAAGGTAGTTCGAGTGAATCTTGAACCGTTACCCGTCTCAAGAGCGCGACCAATCCCGAACAATGCTGTGCAATGTAGAATGTAGCGGTTGCGCTCGCAGAGATTCTCTTATAAGTGTCCCCACCAAAGAAGACCAGATTAACAGGACGAGATCGATTTCACTCTCACAAACACGCGTGTCAGTGGCATGCACGGTACGTGATAACGTATCTTTCGACTTTACCGTCACGTATGAAAGCGAATATTCAAAATCGAAATTATTTCACTTCCGTGCATGAAACTTAATGCTTAACAATCATTAATTTCGAAGTAATTTTATTTCCTTTTTTATTAAATTGCTCTTTAATGTTTGCGATTGAAACATACTTATGTATTGGAGTTTATTATATGGAATCTATATCATTATTCTATTAAAAAAGAAATGTAATATCGCCAATTTTGACATCTTTACTCTTTGGATTTTACATCATAAGTTTGCGTAACAACGATAAGCATATCACTGATAAGCACACACTCGCACAATGGCTACTGTCGGGAAGACGCTCTGGTTTGAAACGTCATTTTATCTTTGTTCTACATTCCATGAGAATAAAGATAGAATGACGTTTCGGAGCATTCATAGTGCAGTCTTGACCGCAGCCAATGTATCAACAAGACAGGGCGTGGGCAGTAACAAACTAATTCAAATAACTTGTTTGTAGTGGTAGCTGAATTCGCTTATGGCAATCCAATGTGGCTGTGGAAAATTACGGCCAGCGGTCGTTTAGGAACATTTGAAGCAATGAATCGAGCCCTTGATCTCCTTGTAGAAGAACAACGTTTTATTCACAGTATTATCGTCTAATAAAATCAGACAGAAGTGATAATTCGGCATATAAGATTATATCATTATACGAAGTACATATTTCCTGTTTCTAATTATATATTACTATAATTATTCTAAAATTGTTATGAGATTTAGAATTTTTTATATTTTGTTTATTATGTATTCCGAAGGAATTAATAATTGTCTCTAAATAATATAAAAACTGCAATTTTTTCGGATAATTATTAAACGTTAAATTAAATTAAAAATTAGTAAATATTTATTTTTATTAATAAATTTTTAATTCGTAATATATTTAAAGAATAATAAAGTAATAAATGTACGATATTCAAACATATAAGACAATACAAATAAATACAAATAAATTCAAGGTAAAAAATCGATTTAATAATTAATTTTTAATATAATAAATATCAATTCCGACATGACTTTGTAGTTGTATATAAAAAAAAGTATTAAATTTTTAATTATGTGATATTTATTATGTGACAATTATTTTATACTTGTACTTTTAGCATGACATTTGATTGTTAATAGAAAATAGATATCAATTTAGAAAGTAATTATCATAATTATATATATATATATATATATATATATATATATATATATATATATATCAGTATAATACATCAAACTTATCTTTTTAGAGATTAAACAAATATATAATAAATTATATTGGATGTGTGTTTTAAGAATGCGTATTTCAAGAAAACAAAGTAACTAATAAAATTTTATTTTTTTATTAAATCGAAAGTTCAACAAATTTTTTTTTTTCGACGATATTATTCAAGGATCAATTGCTAAAAATATTAGTAATTAAACAATGGCAAATGCTAAAAACAAATTGATCAAAATTCGATCAAAAAGAAATAAGAATATTCTCGAAGATATATATATATATATATATATATATATATATATATATATATATATATGGCTGCGGTCGGGAAAACGCTCTGGGCTTTGAAACATCATTCTATCTTTGTTCTACATTCCATGAGAATAAAGATAGAATGATGTTTCGGAGCATTCATGGTGCAGTCTTGACCGCAGCCTATATAAGCGATATGGAGCTTCCGTAATGTAAAATATGTTTCGTCGAAAATAGAAAGCTTGCGTAAATAAACGATAAAATAATAATGCACATGACCTAGTTCTCTAAAATCAAGAATATATAATTATGTTATATGCGTGATGATAGACATATAAATGAAACAAAAGTTCTTAAGATATTTCACTTTTTATCAACTCCGAAAGGTTTTATCCTGGTTTACGTTAAGTATTGTGACGCATGAAATTTTCGAATAGATTAAATCGTGCTTTATCGTAGTTTTAATATAATGGACGAATGAAACAAAAATTCGTACGAATAATCTTGACTTAGACCTTGAAATTTTTCGCAGCGCCCAATAGCCGTAATTGGTTAGACCAAGGGTCGAACAAGCATCAAATACTACCGTGAGAACATCTGCTCTGTTTTAAAGGGGATATTAATACGATTACGTACGATGTATCAACTTGTATCCTGTTACTTTCTAACTTTGATAAATTCATAATATTATCTGATTAATTTCGAGAAATCCTATTAAATTAATTAATATTTTCTATATTAATATTAATTATTGTATTTCTTTGGCGGACATTTTACATTTAAATTTGCTGGGTTATTGAGAGAGGAAATTATTAAAACTAATTTAAAAACATCTGAATTATATTTTCAAAAACATATTTTAAATGTTGAAATATTAAAATAACTATGTAGGATATATGTAATATATAGAAATAATAGAATATATTGTTTGACAAAACTTTTTTTGTTTTATATTTATATATATAGATATATGTTTTATATTTACATATAAAACATATATAAATATGTTTTATATTTATATATAAATATATAATAAATTTAAATATATAGAAATAATTAGAATATATTGTTTAGAATATATGTATAGAAATAATAGAATATATTGTTTGACAAAACTTTTTTTGTTTTATATTTATATATATATATTATATTTATATATATTTCTTCTCTTATGCAATGAAATTTGTCTCTTTTTCTCTTTTTCATGTTAGTTTCATTTAAAATGGAATGTTGAAAGGAAAATATTTGAAAACCTTCCCTCTGAAATACAGAAATAAAAGAAAAGTTATTACAGAGATAGAAAGTATTCAATTGCAGATAATTTATGATAAATCATATATTCTCTTTTTTTACTATTTTCAAACATGTAATATTAAAAAAATAAAAATGCTATTTTATTGACAGAAAAATTTGGATTTGGATAAATTGATTAACTTGCATTCACAAAAAAAAGTAAATAACAAATCGTTTAAAATACATCGTAGTACTTACGTAGAGAAGTATGCTACTCTTTCTCCAGTGCCAAGTTTTCGAATAGCGTTCATTTCATCAGATGTCAATGTAAAATCAAAAAATTCCATATTTTCTTTGATGCGACTTTTAGTTACAGATTTTGGTATTGGTGCAACTCCGTGTTGAAACTATAAAAATAATAAAATATAGCATTAGATATATTTCTCGAATTTGTTAATTACGATTTTATCAGCTTTTTTTTATTACATACCACATATCGAAGTGCTACTTGTGCCGGAGTCTTATTGTACTTTTCTGCAATCTTCAGAACTACAGAACTATCTAATTTATTTTCAATACCTGATGAATTCCCAGGTTGTCCCAAAGGAGAATAACCAGTTATTGTAATGTTACGTTTCTTGCAAAAATCTATTAATTTCTCTTGATTTACGTTTATATTAATTTCAATCTATAATTAAATTTTTTGGATTAAAATAAAATCTTACAACATTATAATATATAAAATATATATATAACAAATATTAATATAATATATATACTCTCTTTATAATAGAATACATATTAATACAATATTAAACTCGTGAAATATATTTTAGAAATATAAACGAATTGAAAAAGTAATTTATCGATCGAAATATATTGAAAAAAAAGTCAAATTAAATTTATAGCATGGTGTAAGTTTGATTATTCGTCTATTATTATTTTTGACATAACATTGTTAATAAAATTAAGAGTTCGATAATTTTTTGTGATATATATAGTGGTTATCACAAAATTATATAACTAGTAATAAAACTACATAACTAATATTTTCTTCATGTGATTAGAACTTTTTAAGTGATTATTTCTATTTGTATTATAAGATACAACGATTAAATTAAATGTTAGAAAATGTAAAGCTAAAGATATATTTAACGCATACCTGATTATTAACCGGCGCAATTTTAGCAGATTCAAGCAAACGGTTTATTTGTTCGGAATTGAAATTACTAATTCCAATGCTACGAGTTAATCCTTGACGAACACACTCTTCCATTCCTCTCCATGTTTCCAGGTAATCAATATCCGATTCAATCAATTTTCCATTCTTATCTTTAGGCATCAAATCATCTCCTTCCTTAAAAACATGATTTCACTTATTAGAACATTATAAAAATTCATATTGAAAGATTACAACAGCGCGTTCCGCTTTACATGGATTCGTGTATCTTTTTATAAATCCAGCTTTTAATAAATTTTTATTATTAAATAACTACGCAACTATTTTCCCATTTCAGATAAACTGTTATTATTTTATTTTTAAGATTATTTTTAAGGTTTTATAGTCGAAAATCTTCAAAAAAATCTAAAATATACAATTTTTTTAGCTGTTTCATTTTTCATATTAATACTTACCTGAAAAGCAAATGGCCAGTGAACTAAATAAAGATCTATATACTCCAAGCCAAGATTGGCCAATGATTTTTTGCAAGTCGGAACAACGAGTTCTTCTCTGTGAAAAGTATTCCATAGCTAGGAGAAAAAAACAAAATAATATAAATATTATTTAAATTTATAAGGCTTAAAATGCTTTAAATAATTTAAATGTTTACATTTATTGAAATTTAAAAAGACAATTTATAACATGATAGTTCATGTGTATATATATATATATATATATATATATATATATATATATATAAATGATAGATAAATGTACTCAAGAACCAATAAGTGTATTGATCTTACCTTCGTGGTAATAAATAGATCTTCTCTGGTTACACTACCGTCTTCAATTTTTTCACGGATAGCTTCTCCGATTTCTTTCTCGTTACCGTAAAACCAAGCCGTATCAATATGTCGATATCCGAGATCTATTGCTTCCTTAACAGCGTTTCCTACATCCTTATTCTCGGACTATTTGTCAAAAAAAGAGAATATATTTATAATATGATAGGAGAATATATTTAGAATATATTTATCTATATGAATATAATATAGGATATAAATATATCTATCTATAATTTAATAAAAAAAGAGAATATATTTATATCTATATATAAAAATATAATATAGAATATAATTATATCTATACATTTATATAATTATATCTATATATAATTTAATCAAAAACAATATTTATAAAGAGTTACTTCCTTTGAAGTTTTATTAATTTCATGCAAAGACTTCTCACAATGGAGAAACATTTGGATTTTGGAAACATTTTGGAGAAACAATGGAGAACATTTGTTTTTGAATTTTATTATACATACATTTACTGAAATTTCAAATATGCATAAAGGAATGACGTAATTCTTGTGACATGCAATCTCTTATCGCTATCATATGTACAATTATGAAAGACTGACCTTATAAGTTCCAAGACCCAACATCGGCATTTTATATCCATTGGAAAACGTTACTGTTGGAATATCAGGCATTATGATCGTTGGCAACAAACAATCTGGAATAGAAATAACAAAATCATCAAAATATGAAAATAAACAATACGATACAAAGAATCTCTTGCTACGAGGGTCGTTTGATAAGTTTGGTAAAAAATAAAACACGTTATTTTTGAAAAAATTTATGTAATTTCTTAATATAGTCTCCATCGAGGTCTATACACTTAGTCCATCAAATTTCCAATTTTTTAATACCTTCGGAAAAGTAGGCTGATGAGGCGTCACCAAATGGATTGTGACGCAATTTCACGAAAATTTACCAAACTTATCAAACGACCTACGTATTTCTATTACAGAAAAACCCATACAACACTGTTAAATATATAATATTTGATATTGTAAATGTGTGATATAATTTCAAATTACTATCAAATCAAATAGTGACGAACAATAAAATAAATATGTACAGAACAAAAATTAGGAAATGCAATAATGTATTAAGTACGTACTTTAAGAGAGTAATATACAATCTCTTCTAATAAAGGAAAGAAAAAGAGAGAGAGAGAGAGAGGAAAAGAGAAAGAGATATAAATAGACTCGGTCATACCCAGTGAGAAATGTTGATCGAATCTACATCAATTCGACATCGATTCGACATCGATTCGACAAATGATTTGTCGAATCGATGTCGAATTGATGTAGATTCGATCAACATTTCTCACTGGGTATGACCGAGTCTATTTATATCTCTTTCTCTTTTCCTCTCTCTCTCTCTTTTTCTTTCCTTTATTAAAAGAGATTGTATATTACTCTCTTAAAGTACGTACTTAATACATTATTGCATTTCCTAATTGTCGAATTGATGTAGATTCAACCAACATTTCTCACTGGGAAGAGGTCGAATACATGTATAATATATTTTGTATTATGTGTGTGACATATTATAAAATCAAATGCCGTCACAACTATACAGTTTCCAGATTTAACACAATTCTCTTCTAATAGCTAAACAAAATCTTATATTTTTCAAATTAATAATTTTTATATTAATAATCAATTTAGCTTTTATTTATTTAAATATTTTAGATTTCTCTTTTTGAATGAAATTGATTATTATAATTAATTATATGAATCACACACAGACACAGACATACACACACACACTATTTATTAGTATTAAATTAATTATTAGTTATTAATTTTAAAAAATGTATATAGGAGAAATACTGTCATTTATTAAATTAATATTTTAATCAACAATTTAAGTCGATTAATGAAAAAGAAAAATGTGACTAGATATAATTAAAGTTATAAGCGACAAAATATTTATTCTATTTCTACGATTTCAAGAATTCTTTTAGCGTTCACCAACATTTTCTAGAACTCGGGAAAATTATTATGAAAATACACTTAATAATAATATATTATTATTATGGAACTACACTTCGAATAATTTGCGTTTCGTTTGATGCATCTCTATGATCAGTAACTACATTTACCGGCACAATATTAATGTCTATTCTTGACTGTAGGATTCTGCGCTGCACGTAGACGCTTGCAGTAACTGTTTCTTGTAATCCATTCACATGCTATTTATGGATAGTCATTACGTAATACCACCTCCCATCTTTTCCATCAAATAATTGCAAATAAAGAAAATTAAATAAATGTGTGATAATGATATATTATATGTTTTTTTCTAATTATTAGAAAAAAAAGAGTAAACATATAAGATATGTATATCTATATAAGATTAGATAATACTGCGTTATAAATACGCAATATTATGACATACAATAACGTTATAGTCATATAATAACGTAATCTAATAAATCGAAAAATAAAATCATGTAAAATTATTATATATAATAAAAAATAGATAATGTAAATAATGTGTTTTTCAACAGTGTTTAGATAATCTTGTTCGAACATTTGATTGTCTTTTCGTTGATATTTCTTAATTTCTTTTATAAAATGGTTGCGTTCAGCAGAAAAAGCTGCTTTGCAACTATTGCAAAATTCGTGAGCCTAATTAGTGTATGCTCTTAATTTTAACTGAATCTACGTCAATCAGATTCATGAATTTTGCAACAGTTACAAAGCAGTTTTTTCTACTGAACTCAGCCATTATTTACAATGACTGCGTTCAGAAGGAAAAGCTGCTTTGCAACTGTGTAAAATTCGTGAATCTGATTGGTGTATGCTCTTAGATTCAATCAAAATTAAGAGCATGCACCAATCAGGCTCACGAATTTTACAATAGTTGCAAAGGAGCTTCTTCTGCTGAACGCAGCCACTGTAAACAAGAATATGATTTCAATTTTTTTTTTATAATTCGAAATATATATATTGTGATATTTGTAAATCATACTATTAATTCTAACTCTCAACTGTGCAATAAAGAGATATGATATAGAATCTTATCTAGAATGATTACGATAATATAACATTTTGAAAGTCATTTCACGAGAATCGAGTATTAAAATGTTGGATTTACTATTAAAAAAATAGATGAAATAAAAATTCAAATAAAAATTCCGTGTAGCCAATTTCTTAAGATTATCTATAATTTGCGATATTACATTAATTTGCGAAATTACAACTAAACATAAGAAAAAAATTGATAAATTTCAAGATTATAAAAAAAATAGTAAATAGGAAGGCTTTCTTTGTCACTACTAAAACATACTCTATGAATTTGTGAATAAGCTTGAAAACTCGGTTATCCAGAATTTATATTTATAGCTATCCATTGATCTATACCTTTTATGGTAAACATAAGCACATTCGAAATGTTGATATCGCTAGTACGTTCATTTTGTTTGATGATTTTTAAATCATTCTATATAAAAATGATATTATAGTTTCAAATAAATTTTATAAATGTATGCTATGCATAACTTCAGTATTTGGACAGAGAGAGAGAAAGAGGGTGCTTTAAAAATATTATGACAAAAACTTTAAGAAAAAACTAGAGAAACTAAAATGTTAAAAAAAATCTAAACATATTTGTTAAAATCTACGTAATGTTTAATTACGATTATAATTTTTGCTTATAAAAATACACAATTACTTATAAAATTATGCAAATAACTATAATTACTCCCTCCTATATATATACCAAGTTATGTACTAAATTATATATCAAGTTTTAATACGAGAATCTGTACAACATAAGCGACGTTGTTTTTATTAAGAAAAGTTTTTTTATGAGAATTAAATATAAGAAATGGCAATTGGTAGTGATAAAGTATCAGGAGATCATATTTTGTATCAAGTCACATATGACATATGATGGCCTATTTAAAAGTATCTTGAAAAATTTTCAATCTCAAAAATTTAACTGAGAAAAATTACATTGTGATTGTTTTTATTATGTTCAATTATATTTAATTGATGGGCCACATATGTGTATATACAGGTCTACCAAAAGTGTGGAAACCCCTAAATATCTCGGAAATATACGTTTTACAGAAAAGTGTTTCAACAAAAGTTGTAGGTTTAAGAAGATCTATATACTGATTCTATCAGTTTGACCTTGGATGGCGTCGTCAAGGTCAGGTCAAGGTACATTGACTTTTTTAAATGACACCCTACATTTGATTGCATATTCTTATAGCTTAATTCAAGAGCTTTCCAAAACACTATAATAATGTTCATTTTTATTAAGTACTTTGCGAGTTATGAGGGTTGAAATAATTTCTTAATTTTACATAAACCATAAAATATCTAGTAAACCATTCATTTTTCGATTATCTTACCTTCATACTTTTATGTACAAAATAATGAAAGGAATCAATTGGTGTAAAGAAAACATACAGTTGTTTTTAAGAAAAAATATGGAATTGTTAATTGCAAATTACATATTTTTTCTTAGAAACAACTATGTGTTTTCTTTACACCAATTGATTCCTCTCATTAATTTGTACATAAAAGTATGAAGGTAAGATAATCGAAAAATGAATGGTTTACTAGATATTTTATGGTTTATGTAAAATTAAGAAATTATTTCAACCCTCATAACTCGCAAAGTACTTAATAAAAATGAACATTATTATAGTGTTTTGGAAAGCTCTTGAATTAAGCTATAAGAATATGCAATCAAATGTAGGGGGTGTCATTTAAAAAAGTCAATGTGACCTTGACCTGACCTTGACGACGCCATCCAAGGTCAAACTGATAGAATCAGTATATAGATCTTCTTAACCTACAACTTTTGTTGGAACACTTTTCTGTAAAACGTATATTTTCCGAGATATTTAGGGTTTCCACACTTTTGGTAGACCTGTATATATATATATATATATATATATATATATATATATATATGTATGTACGTATGTATATATGTACACACACACACACACAAATAGGAAATTTTAATTACATGTAAATCTCGTCACAATAAATTATTAATTTTTTTTTCATTTAAATATTAATATAATGTATACATAATAATTAAAATAATGAATAATGTATTAGTAAAAATGTAACAATGTTCTCATGTCCGATGAAAATATCAAATATTTTTCGAAAAATGAATTTTTATTTATTTAAAGAATTTTAATCTCGAAAAATAAATCAATGTAATAATAGTCACACAATTTAAAAAAGATACATGTACTTTTATAATTCTGTGCAATATTTTTTTACTACGCAATTTTGTTTACTGCAATTGACAAGGGAAGAATGCGTAAATAACATTACAGAATTTGTAAAATATAAATAATCACTTTTTCAAATCATTAGGAATTCGAAAATGATTAGTGAGAAAATGTGGCAAGCGTTTAACAAATGTAATGGATTTAGTTTAAAAAACTAAAAAATTTTAAATGTTTTAAAATAGTATCACAAATTGCTTGTTTTTTAAATACAGAATCAATTCCCAAAGAACCCGACAAAATTGCTATAAGAGGAATATGTATTTGTGTATTTGGTGTAAAACTCCAAAAATCAAGAATCAGATATAAAAACGTTTATATATATGGAGACTTCTTCATAAAACAATTAAAAGATTCTGTCATATATTTAATAACAGACTTTGTGATGGACATTTGTATTTATTAAAAATCTTATTTGAATCATTTTCTTCAAATTCGTATCCCAAATAACTCTATCTATTATTTCGTCATAATTGATATCTTTATTTTCATAACACCTATTTTTCAAAAACAAGTACTATAAAAATAAAGATACCAATTATAACTAAAGAATAGATAAAAGCCGTTTAGGATTCAAATTTGAAGAAAGTAATTCAAATGATAAGATTTTTAATAAATACACAAATGCCCAGTTTTTATGAATCTAATAGTTATTTCGACAAATCTTTCCAAACATTAGAAAGAAAGAGAAAAAAAAAAAAGAAATTAAACATAACAAAAACTCGAGTGATTCCAAATTCCGAAAATAGCTCGATAAACTAAAGTACGCTATCGCAATAACAATATTGCTTATTTAAAACCTGTTTGAACATATGAAAGAATTAAAATAGATATCTATATTTCCACAATTTCATAATCAAATCTATGAAAGCATTATCAACACCGGAAAAATTGCACATTTGAAATCAACTGTTTCAAAATTAGTTATATAGCATATTATAAGTTACAATAATTATATAAACAAATCTTATTCAAATCAAATTTCTGTTGTGGATATAGTGCCTAATAATTTCTCTAATGTTATTTTAAATATTTTGGATCGACTCACTTTCAATGAAGCAAACTTAACTAGATTATCTGGAGATAATATTTATCTTATTGGACTTGCGGCAAAAATTAGGAATAAATTGAATAGATTTAAACGGTGCGACATTTCGATGACATATCAGGTGACACATATTATCGACAACAAAATTAAAGTCTCTGCAATAACAAAATCAATTTATCATATATCTTTAAATATTGAATGATAGAATAGCTACAGGAAAGCATAAAACTAAAATTACATTAATTTTTTCACCACATTTGTTTGTCAGTCTATAAATAATCCTACGAAGTTAGTTGTAAAAATTCGTGTATATAATATCGCAATTTTCCTGAATTTGGCATGTTAGTCAAAAAACCTAAGAAAAATAATGTCCAAGATATGTTGAGATGTAAATTGAATATACAAATTACAAGAAGTTATTTGTAATTATTGTTGTGTTACTTGTTGTTCTACAGTAGCTAATTTTTTTTTACTATTTTTATTTTGATTTCTTACTTTTTTCGACTCTGCCTTATTTTCAAGATCTACTCGGATTGTTGCACGAACGCCTGGCCCCCAATTTACAGTGGGATTTTGTTGAAAGCGTGATAAGTGTCTCTGACGAGAAATTGGATTTGCTAGAGGATGTTCTGCGAAAGAAATATCCCTCGTAAACGATGCATTAAGTATACGTGCAGCTGGACTATCCTCAGCTAGTTTCTCGCGTTTTGCAGGATGCTCCTTCTCCCAAGCACGTACAATATCCCATATCACATCATTAGACGCGTCCGTTTTAATGGAAGTTTTACTTGCGTGTGAATATGATACTTTGTATCCTGCGTTTAATAACGCAGATCTGAATTTCAATATTGATGGAACATCACATTTAACTATGCTCATCAAGCGATCCAGCGTATAATACAATGGAACATCTAGTTCCTCGTGTATCATGGTCAAGACACCTTCCATTCTTTTCGATGTACCTAACTCTATATTATTCAAGTTGCATAACAGTTGCGATACGAATTCTTGATCATGTAAAGATCCTAGCCATATTGGACCTGCCATATGTTGCCGATATTGACAATGTTTACATAGCTGATCTACTGTAGGTGCATTTGGTAATTTATAATTATTGGAAGATCTTTTTGTTGCTAATGGTTGAAAGCTCATACTTTCACATCCATTGCACTGATAAAGCATCCCTATTTTGCTAGAGTTTTCTTTACACTTATTATGGCCTGTGAAGACTTTGACAAATACTCTTATATAAAAATCAATACTTATAGATAGTAATGGTACTATATATCGTCCATATCGTCCAGCATAAGATGCAATGCATTGAAGTAATATCCGTAACGCTATCTCGTGACAAGACTTTGATTTTATAGATATTGCTCCATACTTGTAATAACAAGTTTCCGGAGTATTGCCAGCTAGTACAGCCATATCAGTAGCAGTAACCAAAAGTATACCACCATCAGCTACACATTGCACTGCTCCATCCAGATACATCGATGGACAGCCATATGGATCTAAATCAACTGCATCAAAACGATTTCGTCTACGCTGATACATCAACAATGTCGCATCCTCATGATGAGGCGTTACTAAATTCTCAACTCCATTATGCAAGACATTATGTCTGATACTGTCCACTGCTTTAGCAGAAATATCGTTGGCTACAATCTGCTTGATACCTTTCACTTCTTTTGCATATCGTATGCTACGCAAACCTGTTGCAGATAAAGCTTCCAATATAGTAATTCCCTCTTGCTTGTTTGTATTCAATCCGGTATCAAGTAATATAGTAGTTTTATTGTCATTTGTTAAATTATTTTTTTCTATCATTTTGTTCCATCTGTCTTGTGCAAATATTGTTAATACCGCTATACTGAGATCTCTGTTGAATTCTTGAACTGGATTATAAAAGACTTTTTTATTCGTAATTATTATCTGTGCTTTCCCTTCGCTTAAAACAGGAAATTCCTCAAGCTTGAGTTTCTTTGCACATTTCTCTTCAGTCATGTTTATTAATTCTGAAATATATTAGCATGCATTATATATATATATATATACAAAAACAGATGATTGAAATATAGTAATACATTATATATTTTCTGACATATTCTAGTACACAATCGTAATACACAATTTATTATTATTTTTATAAAGTTATTAAAGCACTTACAACTTAAAAATATTGATCTATATCTTTTATATATAGAACTGTACTATTTTAAAAATAATCAACTATTTTCTTGCAATGATCGGTTAGTGTGTTTTCTTTTCTTATGAGTTTCTTCAATCTTTATGCACTTTCGTTTACTTTTTTCTTCTTCTTGGCTCCAAAAGAACTCCAAAAGGACACATACGTTTATGTTTCATCTAATCACTAATAAAATATCTATCGAAATTCAAACATTGCTAAATATGTGGTTAAGTTAAGTATACACTAACGCTTCATTGGCAATTATTGTAACTAGAAAGAGAAATCGAAGCAACTACAGATGGTAAAAATGACGTTTAAATTATCGATAAGAATGTCAAATTGACATATGGTATCTCCACATGATCTATTCATTGATTAAACTTTATTAATGAAATCTGCGATCTAATTTTCAATGTTTTTCACGTATAATATTATATTAATAAATTATGATGTGATAAAGATACATGTGTATATAAAAAAAAGTATTGTTGTAACATTTATTGGTATGATATTCGTACACACTGTCAATCTCTGTCTTCTTCTATTTCATCTTACAATAAACTATAATAAATACATCACTCTAAATTAGAAATCTATTATGGATCTTTTTTGGTCACATTATAACGCGAAATAAAAAATCACTACTCCCAATTAAAATCTCCGGCGTGAAAATTTCCATTTCGCAAGATTTAAAAAATTTTTTAGTCAAAAATGTTAAAGATAAGTGAATATCTATAACAAGATACAGAATTCCGAGCAAAAACTTTTCCAAATAGTTCATAATAGATTTCTCTTCAAACAGAAGATTTGCACGCACGTATAATTTCTTCACAAACTCAGCTTTGTAACAAATCATTTCATAAAACCAAATATAAAAGAATGTGTCTGTTTTTCATACATGAATGTATTTGCTGGAGTATAAATTAACGATTCAAAGAAACATTTATAAAGGAAGATAAAAATAAGAAATCACTTTAACTTAAAAACAAGTTTCTTTTACACGAAAATCACTAATTTATTATACACACTCACACATACACACATATTACTGAATTCTTTTTGAATTTTATTCAAAATTTTCTTTGTAAAGTCACACACATGTTTTTTTCTAACATTAAGCAAACTATGAAAATTAAATATATTATTTCAATTCATCATAGAGAGAAAGAGAGATGCTTAAACAGTTTGATAATCTACAAATAACAAATGTCCCATACATATCCTTAGACACACATACAAGCACACACACATGTGCACATATCATATTTAATAAACACTATTACTAGATTTATCCTTTCAACTTCTATTATTAACTATTATCAACTTCAGTCATAAAATGATTCCATTCATTTGTATTCATAAAAGAGATTTTAAGATAAATTTCAAAAATGTATGTTAACTTTTGGCCGATATCCTGATGATTATTTGTATTACAAATAATTCTCTTTTTTTAGAAAATAAAAGAGAACTTTTTTAGAGAACACTATTTTTCACATTAATAGATATTTTTTACATTATCAAATTATATATTAGTTGATATTTTTGTTCATATATAATATGGAATTACAGTTATGAAACAGTTTCACTTAGTTTATGTATCATAAGGCGATTTCAAGTAACAAAAATTTTGAATATATATATATCAATTTCTAAGATATCCTGACATTATTTCTATTGATATCTACATTGAGAATGAAGTCTCAGTGACTGTTAAGTTGTCTTTGTAGAAAACACCATTTTTTATACATCAGCAAATACTATTCCTCTACATCATCGAGAAAAATATCAACATTTTCTAATTTTTTTATCAGAGTTCAGATTATTCTAATCATAATGAAATCAGATACTCGTACCTTTCACGTCTTTTTCTTGGAGTGGTTTTTTGCAAACAGAACCAATGTCTTCTTCATCTTCTGCCTTGCGTTTTTTTCTTACTAAATGTGAAATATCGCTAGCGGGCTTAGATGTATTACTACCACTTCCGGAAGCTTCGCTCGCCTCGCCATCTTTAGAGCATCCATTCAACCTCTCTTCCTTAATCTCCTTGATTACATCGGCTTCTTTTTTCATATCTTTGATGTCCGCGATTTTTTCTTGGATCTCTGGAAGAAGTTCTTGCAGTTCCTTGATTTCACCTTCAACAGTGTAGAAAGGATCATCGGATTGAGGTGGATCATCCTGCACTGTCTTCAGTTGTACAATCTTCGCCTCTAGTAACGCGGATGCCTGGTTGAATTCCTCGATGCTGGCATCGAAATTGTTTGCCATTGCATGAGTCAATCCGAGCTGATAATGGATTTCGGCAATTGCACGATGGTCGCGTGGAGTTATTTTCTCCAACAGATTCAAGCACGCTTTGAAATCAATCAGTGCGCTTTCATGGTTGCCACCTTCCATCGCTACCTCGCCCAGAAGACGATATGCCTCAGCTAACAATTTCCAACCTGAGGACCCACGTTTTAGCAGTACCAATTTCGCCAGTTCCAAGACTTCCCAAGCGATCTAAAAGAAGAAAAATTAGGTATTAAACAATTGATAGTCATCAATACTTAAATATTTACCCCACAATTATGTTATAAATTAACTATTTAAATTATTTATAATAATTTAGAGGAAAAAAATAGAAATCTCTTATCGGTACGATTTAACTCGACATTGCAATCATTCAAAAAGATTCACCTGTAAATTATTCACGTCGTCCTCCTTCTCAACGTCTTCCTCTTCTGCCTCTCCGTCTTCCTCATCGTCTTCTCTTTTTGTACCACTTCCAGAAGCTTCGCCATTATATACATCAGGATCTCGACTACAGCCAGGAATTTCTTCTTTTTGTGTGTTTTCCTCTACTTTGCTATCGATTGTTTTATCAGAATTCTCCGTCTTCTCTGACTTCTCGTCCTGCTCACTATTTGGATCTTCACTCTCTTTCAGTTCACGTTTATCATCTTCTTTATCATTCGATGTGCAAGGACTATTTTCCATACCATTCTTGTTTTCTGCGATGGTCCCCTCTTCATTCTCGTCTTCCTCATCCTCCTCTTCTCCCTGACTAACTCCTTCGTCCTGACTAACTTCTTCGGAGCCAGGCACGCCGCCCCCCAATACTCCTGCCTCTTCGCGTGCCAGACCTAGAAGGGCTCGTCCGTAAAGCAGATAGAGTTCACCCATCTCGTCGCCCGTCTCTCCGTGTTCCTGGGCAAGAAGCTCGCAAGCTTGGGCTAAGACGACCACTGCCAGGTTGTAATCGCGTACTAGGAGGTGGCGTTTGCCCTGGGAGATCGCCGTCGCGGCATCCTTGATCGGCACTTCCTCCGATAGATCTGCCATCTAAGGAAGAAAGACGGGAGAATTCCCATATACACAAAGAATTATCACTATTTTTGAGATTGGTAACAAGCAAGAAATTCCAACGATGCGCAGACAAAATAGGTCAAACCAACTAGCGATGAAAGAGCATTGTTCTGTAGAAACAGAAAGCGTAAATAAGTAAAAAATTTCTATATATTCCATTACGTCATCCTTTTCTAAGTGTCCTGCGAAGCAACAACTTAATCAAACACGTTCTACTTGCTGATACAAGCATATATGTATGTGCCATGACTGTAAAAACACGAGTCCTGCATTAAGTCCCTGAAATGGACATTAAAAGTTTTGCACAAAACATATGATTTACAATCGATAGATCTTTTCTGAATAATGTTATAAATAAAAATCAAATTAAATGCTTTTTTTAAAGACAATCTTTAAATATCTTAATCTTACTTATTCGAAAATATCTTTATCTGAATTAATCAAAGAGATAAAAGTACGTGTGTTATTACTCTGTATTATCCATTATTAGTCTACATTAAAAAGAAAAAAACGTAAAGTTTATAATTATAAAATTTGAATAAAAAAATTAATAAAGAAATTTATATAAAAATACAAGATGCTCCTCAAGAATATCTTACGAATTGTAAAATAAAAAAAAAAATAAAAAAAAACAATATAATTGGGTCTTTTACCACAATAATATTCTCCTTCGAATTTCTCCAACATAACAAAAAAGCAAGTAGTATTTCTTTTTGCTGTATTTTTTTATCGCCCTAACTGAAAAAAATGTATTTTATATATATTACAATACGTTTATAGGAGCCAATTTTTGATTAATACTTCGAATGATTTTAATAGTTTTTCCAACGGGAGCATATGGACGAGAGAAGAAGGATCCATTGAAGGAAAATATTCTGAATGATCAGCGGACGAATTTAAATACGAATATAAATAACATCAAATTAATGAACCACGCGCGTAAACAATCAAACGACAACCGGTCATAAAACAAAAAAATCTTATTCTCAATCTCTCTCTTCGATTACTTTAGCAGGATACGAGCTCGAGTCCAATTGTTTGCAAGACGTAGAAACGGCATGTAGGTGATAAGACCGGGTATCCGCAGCATCCACGGGGTGGGGAAGAATGGACGAGGGTGGTTCTCCGCGTGGGTCGATTCATCGTGGCGCTTCGACGCGGGAGGACGAGGGCGTCCGCATCGCGAGGATGTCCAGAGAGAGGGAGAGACAGAGATAGAGAAAGGAAGAGCGAGTTCCAAGGGCGTACAACGGCCAGTAACGAGTCGGGGGACGCGAGCGATGCTTGCAGGCGTCGCCCTGGCGCCGCTGTCCGAGAACAGATGGAGCCGACCCGCGTACCCCGGGGCCCCGGTCCGCGTCTCGTCTTCCTCTTCGCCACGCTCGTGTTGACGTTCGCAGGTAAAGAGGAGGTATCTTTTCTTGACGCATTCCGCGAAAAATAAGCCTCTTTTTTGACGCATAAGGAGTTTGCGCGTGCGAAGATCTGTTGTGCTATACATCCTGATGAAATGAAGAAATTCGTCATGGGAGAAAAGAATTATATATATATATGTACTTCGATCGGGTAATGAAACTCGAGCATGTGATCCTGACATTTATCGCGTCTCCTCTTCACATCAAGAGGCGTCTAATGAAATATTTAACGATCAAAAAATATAATGAGAAGAAAAACCTTCATTTTAAATCGCGCTATTGCAACATTTATTCGTCCTTTTACAATTGATGGCATAAGTGCTAGATGTCCAGTGAAAATAAGATTCTACCAATCTCGAATTATATTATAAATCATAAGAAATTTTTCGATTTCTTTTTGTAAAAGAGAAACTTTAAAACTTGTGACAAACACGAAAAATCTTTTGCGCCAATCGAATGATTGCATTCTTTTTTTTTTCATTTCTTAGCGACGGGGCTCCTATGTGGTGCGATAATGTCGGATCATTGGGAAGAGATCGGCTGGGACAAGGAAGACCTAATGCACGCGAACGTCAATCTCACGTGGTATCTGAACGATCAGGTGGCAATGCTAAAGTCTTCCGTTAATCATCGAACTAATCGTGTTATCAAAACTTCGTCCTTTTTGGTCCCCATGCACGGCGGGATTTGGATTATGTGTGTTACATTGTCAGGTACAAGCTGTTACAATTCTAAAACTATGCGTTACAATCAACTTTTTTATTCATAAATGACTCTCTCCCCCTCCCCTTTTAATATGTTTTACAGAATAACAATAAACACAGTTTGAGATCTTTTTAAATATATTATCTTAACATGTGAAGAAAAAATATACTCATATATCTCTCATTCTATTATTTATTCATGAAAATAATATATGAGTTATAGATGTTTTCAATACTGATTACGATTTTAATTATTTGCCAGTCAATGCATATCGTCATAAATATCAAAATAATGAGGAAATTATTGAAAAATATTATTCGCAATTAAATGAAGAGCCAGAACTATATTTTATTTTTCTCTGATATTTTATTTAAAATTCTCACATTGATATCATTCATATTTTTTTTTTCGTTTGTCGGCTAATAGAAACCGATTTTATGAATCGGCAAACGGATGAAGATTAGGTCTAGGTTAATAGGATCGTGTCGTTTTGCTCAAATCCACGGGAAAGACCAGAATCTCATGGTCACGCGATTGTATGGATGTGCTGTTCAAACTGTGCGATTCGGCGGTTCGATATCTCCGGACAGAGTCAAGGTAGCATCTAAATATAGTCACGTGTGTATATGCAACATAAACATGATTCCTTTCGATAAAATTTCAACAACATACTTATTGTATTTGTATAAAACAATATTAATTTTTCTATATATATTAATTTTTCTCCTATGTAAATGAATTTTTTCTTTAATATTTTTTAAATAAAATCTCTATTAACTTTAAAATAAGATACTTTATACAAAGAATCATATAATTTTGGTGAACATCTTTAATGATAATAATGTTTTTTTAAATAATATCAATTTTTGAAAAAAAAAATAGTAATGATTTTTCTAATCAATATATCGTTCTTTTTCCTGGTAAAATTTATAATCGATGTGAATAATAATGCAATCTTTAATTTAAATTTACTGTCTCTTTACAACTCTCTGAAGCATATATTCTACAGAATTTTCTTCATTTATTATATTAATTGTTTAAAATCTAAAAATCAACTATAATCTATATTATTTTTGTTGGAAAAAATTGTATATGTTAATCAAAATATATTGATGCAAGAATTCCATAAATTGATTAAAAATAAATAAAATATATAAATAAATAAAATAAAAATAAATAAAAATAAATAAAATAAACAAAATATAATAAATATATATTTTGAACATTTTGTATGTCAATATTTGGACACAAAAAAAATTGCGGAAAAAGTTGCAACCATATAAAAAAATATAATCGATATACCTTTTTTCATTTCATAATCAAACGTGTGTAATCTTGTGGATTATTCGGAGAATTTGGAGGTCTAATTGTCTCATTTTGTTATTTTTGTCAGAAAATTATCTTTATAGTGCCTGAACACGCCAAGTACAGTGCCTAGCACTGCATTGCTTTTGCGCATAACATTTATATCATGCAATCAAGGTGTTAACGACGATTCGTGTAACGATGATGCGATGTCAACAATCCACAAAGATGTACCGCACCATCTTACACAGCTTTTTTGTAATTCGACAACTTTTCACCTGAAACGATACATAAATGGCTTCCTTCTGCTATCACTTTTTTTTTGCTTTTTTATTTGAAAGATATATAAGAGAAACTGACATCAACAAAATACTGGAGAGAGAAAAGATTTTGATAAAATTTCTCTATGGTAATATATATTTTAACTAAGAAATTCCAAAACATTGTTTCCAACAGAAAATTTGTTGGATCACTAGATTAATTATAAACATAAGATTCCTTTTTTTGGAGAACATTAAGTTAGATAAATAAAAAAATATCTGAATTTAAGCATATTTTATTTATGAATTTAATTGTCAAAAATTGTACATATCTATAAGTTATATAAATTTTTTAGACAAATTTTGTATTTCTCTCCAAAAAAAACGATAAAAAGATAGGACGAGATGGAACTTACATTAATATCAAATTTGTCGGAAGTAAAAAAGATTGAAGAAATTATATTGCAATGATTTTTTTTAATGATCTTGAGAGAACCATCTTAATGATCAATTTTCAATAATAAGTAAAATTTTATCTGTTTAAATGAGAAAAAGTAAGGATTATGAAATTTATCAACTGTTATCAAATGTTTGTTCTTTTAGAGGAAGAAATACAACTATTAAATCAGGTGGGTTTCCCACAAGAGAGGTGCATCAATTATTTGACACCGGATGAAACGCACGAAGAAATACGTGTAGCTTGGCAAAATCGTAAGTGAACATTAAAAAACGAAACATTAAATTGTGTGTGAGTCATAGAGTATCAATAACTTCATCCTAGAATAAAATATGATTAATTGTTTTAATATGATTAATTGTATTAATATTTTGATACAGAAATTTTATTCTATCCTATTCTGTAATCAATCGAAAAACATAGAAATAATATATTTATAAGAATCAATTGATAAGAATGATCACAAACGTCACATCTGTTTCAGGAATGCAAAATCTGAGTATCTCGTGCTCTTTAGTGTGCCTAATCATTTTAGGATGTGCCGCGCTTATAGGATTTTTCGGACTGTGTAGGCATCAGATATCGGCCGTTCTCGTGACAGGAGTAATGTATCTTCTTGCAGGTATAAAACTATTTATATTAATTTTGATAGATTGATGTATCAAGACTTCAAATCAGATATTTTGTTTTATTTGTTATTGCGAGTATCTATTTTTTCAAAATATCATTTAACATCATTTGACTTCGACATAATAAAGAAACATTTTATTAAGTGAATAATTATTGATTGTGTTTATCGGACTGAAACTTAAATAGAACATTAACAAAGAAAAAATTATATATTTTAGAAAAAAAATAAAATAAAATATGTAAATATGCTTACGAATTTTATAAATATTATCAGACCACCTAGATACAGTGTATCAATCAGAGGGATGGTGATCAAATTGGAATTATCTGGATTTTATTTCAGCAACATTCGCATTGTTTACGCTGACGATCATTCATTTCAAGAGGGACCATGGGACCAAATCAGTAATGGACGGAGGTCCTGAGGACGGCGTGATCGGCATGCCTGTTCCTCGCAGCGTCCTCAAGGCCAGAAAGTTCACTACCGCATGGAGCATGGATCTAGGATGGGGTGGAGTCACCCTTTGTGCCCTCGCATCGGTCGCCTGGATCCTCCTCAGTAAGATCATGCGCTTCAGCCCGATCGCTGCCATGATCGCGTAGCAGTGGGACGCCTTCGAGGTTTAAGGTCGTTTCTGATAATCACTACATTTCGATTATTTCTGCGATCCTTTTCATTAAATTTCGATATTTTCTAATCACGATGGCGCAAAAGATTTGTTCTTTTTCTACAAATTTTTCAAGTTCTGCTTCAATTTTCTATAACAAATTAATATATATAACAGATATTTTCAAAGTCACATTCATTATAATTAAAAAATGACTTATCTTGCAACATGTATATGAAACCGAGACATGAATTTATAAATTATTAACTGTTCTAATTATATTTTCTATGTTAACTGTTCTAATTATATTTCTTCTTGATTTGTTTAAGCTTTCAACAACTATTGAAATAATATATTCAAGAACTATTGAAATAATATATCAATTTCACATTCCTATTTTCAATCACTATAAAAATCAATATAACTAATTCTTTCTATATAAACAAGTCTTCCGCAATATGTGAGTGATTATATAATCATTATATGTTAAATAACTAATTTTATTTTTCACTTTACTTGATAAATGTGATAAGAACTTTTTTATCAACTGTTTTCTTATCTGATAAATTATCTAATCCAATATTTATATTTGTATTAATCAACGAATACAATATTTATCTTCTTTTATCAAGTTCTGAAAGTTAAATTCAGAAAAATTTGTAAATTTGTAAATTTTGCGCTTAAGAATCAAAGATTTGAAAAAGATTTTAAGAAAGGATCGCAGACTAGCTCACAGATTGGCTACAAATGATACTTCTTGAAGAAGTTGCATTCAGAAATGACCATCTCGAAGGCGATAGCTGCTATTTTGTATTATCTATCTCATTTGCATAAATATTATTCGGATTGAAGGAATATAAGTTTATAGAAGAGATAAAGAGAATCTCTTTCTGATTAGTGTACAATTCTTGTCCTAAAAAACATTTAATAATTTCGACGTTTGATCGACGCTTTGTAACAAGTAATTACGTCATTTTGACACAATTTGTATTTTTTTTGTATATTATCATTTGATTTATTTGCTATAAGTAACTAAACGAACTCATTAGAGGATCCAAAAGACAAGAAAAGTGAAATGATTAAATGTATAACATGCTCATGGTGTAAAAAGATAAAATGCAACACATTCTGTGGATGCAACAGATGGACTCGGGAATTAATTTCAAATGTTAAAAATAATAGTAATTAATGTAGTACTACGTAATAGTAATTAATATAGTACTACGTTATAAAGAAATAATAGTGTAATTTTTGAAACTTTATTTACTTTTATTCCATTTTTAATTTCATAATTGATTGTTTTAAATATTTCTTTATTTTAATCATATAATAAATTTTATTTTAATTATTTGTTCACTTTTAAATAATTAATTTCATCTTCTCTCACACATACATTATTTTCATAATTTTTTTCATGATTCTATGATTGCCATCATGCATAATACAATACTTTCTCTTTTTATACCATGAGGACTATGGCATTACATCTCAAAAATTAATAAAGAGAATGTTACCTAAGAATATAATCAGATTCTGATATATAGTTGCCTATAATGTAATACAAACGCCTTATAATTAGAAAGATAAGCGTATATAAAGCGTATTTTTAAAGCATAGAGTAAAGGTATTAGTCGTATACAAGATGAGGTATATTTAAAATGTGATGTATTAATCTCTCTCTCAGAAGCAAATAATGATATAGTTATCAAATATTCTTCTTAGAAATTACAATTTTCATTTCTCAGTAAATACCTTTCTCTATAATCTTTGTACATTCTGAGACATCAGATTTTATGTCACGCTTTAAACTCAATCTCAACTTGTGTACAGCATAAATTTTTTCACGCGGTAAAGAAGAGCTTGTTTTTGCTACTACTTGTTATAGCGATTAGATGAGATAATTGTGCATGTATCCTGCATGAAGGGATCACGAGTTGCACTTCGTCCATTAAAACTTAAGACGATTCCATACATTGTACGCGCTTTTGAAAGAAACCATGTTTTTCTAACAATGCATTCTTGATTGCAATATTTTTTTACGCAATCTTTGTTGTTTGTTATATTGAAGATGAGATGAGAAGCATAATAAAAGACAACAAATTCCTAGCTGAAAACTACCACAGTTTACTCTCTATATTCAAGTTGAGCTTTATGATTCTGACACATAACGATGGCCTAAAGGTTTTGTGAAAAAAGATTATAATTTCACTCGCGAATACAGAACAAAATATATTTTATATTTTCTATTAAATAGATATACATTTTGTAAAGGCTTCGTGCTTTCCTAAGTTTTAAAATTTACTTCGAAACAAGCTTCAATTAACTTTACCGATGATTAATTTATTAACAGAATTGATTTTACCTATGACGAACATTCTACCTATAATTCATTCATATTCCTAATCTAATCTTTCTTTCCATGCATCAAATATTTTTATTCATATTAATAAAATAATATATTGCAGAGTATTATTGATAATTTAATTGCCCATTGACATCAAAGCAGCTCTGTAATCATTTATCATATAACTAAATAAAGGATTTACTCAAATAAATTATTTGTACTAAAAAAATGAAAGAATATATTATAATGATTGCCAATATATTATAATAATCATAATGATAACCTAACCTTAAAAAGAGCATCGCGATGGTCTACTGTTTGTCAATTTCAGGTATAAATTTCAATTATTAAATTTGTATTTTAATCATGAAAACAATATTAATAGCGAGACTCCAAATTAACGAAAAGTGTTATCTGTTCTGCACAAAAATTAATGTTTATCGTAGCTACATTTTCTATTATTCTCCAACGATACTTCTTTTGTCTTCTCTCCTTTTTTACCTCGTGTTGCTTCATTCATCTTAAATGCAGGTGTAAATAACTGTACTTTTTTTTCAGAGACCCCTATTTATTATATCGATATTCACCGCGTACCTATCGTAAATCACGTTATTCAAGAAGAAAAAGATGTAGTACATATATGTATATCTTCCTTTCTCGTATTCACCCATCTTACAATTTTCCCTCGCATTGCGAAATTCACGGAAAGGATATTTAAATCGCCGGGAAGAAGGAAGCGAAAGGGTTTGAAAATGTTGGCGGATTCGATCGTGTCGATGTAACGTGACATTATGACATTGGCCTACGTACCTCTCGTTAAGTTTCCAAAAACACGATAATGTTTCCTCCACACGCGACGTCCTCGATCTCGCGAATCCGCAAAAATGCAGACGAGACGCACGATTTTCCGTTATACACGCGCGAACCGTGTAACCGGCACGCGGGCAAATTTTACGAGGACTTGACGTACGATCATCGACGACGAACACTTTCGAAGATGGCCGACCTACCCATCTGTTTCGCGAGATTGTACAAATTTTCACCGCACGAGACGTCACCGTCGCGATAAAGTGAAAGCCTATCCCGACGCGCTTCGCGCAGAACCGACCAATCGCGTGAGCTTTCCAGCAGAAAAACATAGAGTCCCTAGAATATAGAGTCTGGCCATGCGACGCGTCTCATCTTATTCGTCGAAATAAAATTTGTAAAAACATGGCGGAACCAATAGAAATTGTTATTAGACAGCTTATTGGAAACTGTTAAGGTGCAATTTCATTGACGCTAGAAACCAGCGGCAAATTAAAATCACTAGACTTTCTCTAAATATGGCGTCAATAAAATAAAGTTCAAACAGTTTCAACTTTTTCAGTGTGTAAAGCGGCCTTTTCATTGACGCTACTTTTTAGCGTCAATGAAATTGCACCTTAACAGTTGGCAGCCCTACGAGATAGGCTGTGCAGCACTGCGCGTATATAAAATAAATTTGAAATCGCTTCTAGCCTAACCATCTTCATGCGATCGACTTTATTTAAATTGCACGGCATCGCATCGAATTATGATGCGGCGCCGATTTGTTCGAACGTAATTCGAGACATCGCGATGCTGTATAAGCGTCGAATGAGCATGAATTGTCACGCAAATATGATAAATCAAATCTACTCACCGTTCACCGGCTGTTCCACAGGCCGCTCCACTCGCTCGCCTCGGGACGTCCCATTCCGATCTTGATGCACACAAACTCACACGATATCATCAACGCGAACGCGCGACACTTTATTCGGCACTCGCGATATTCGCTCGCATCCGATAATCATCATCAAGGGCGCAAATAACGCGACGCGACTTCGCTCCATCTTCGCGATCGCGCTATCACTGAACTGTGAAAAATAGCTGTCGCACACTTTCACCGACATATTATGAAAGTCGCGCGATCATCCTTGGACACTTTCGACGCTCTTTCACTCGCGATATTCGTTTAAAAACGGTTAAAAGACGCGAAAAATGCGGACGTACGACGATCCGTGTAACTGCGTATGACTCCGATTCACGTATGACGCGTATGACGTAGCAATCACGCGCTAACATGGCGGCCGAACCAGTGCGCAGAAACGAATGCGCACTGGTTCGGCCGCCATGTTAGCGCGTGATCGCTACGTCATACGCGTCACTGCTACGTCATACGCGTCATACGTGAATCGGAGTCATACGCAGTTACACGGATCGTCGTACGTCCGCATTTTTCGCGTCTTTTAACCGTTTTTAAACGAATATCGCGAGTGAAAGAGCGTCGAAAGTGTCCAAGGATGATCGCGCGACTTTCATAATATGTCGGTGAAAGTGCGCGACAGCTATTTTTCACAGTTCAGTGATAGCGCGATCGCGAAGATGGAGCGAAGTCGCGTCGCGTTATTTGCGCCCTTGATGATGATTATCGGATGCGAGCGAATATCGGGAGTGCCGAATAAAGTGTCGCGCGTTCGCGTTAATGATATCGTGTGCATCAAGATCGGAATGGGACGTCCCGAGGCGAGCGAGTGGAGCGGCCTGTGGAACAGCCGGTGAACGGTGAGTAGATGTGATTTATCATATTTGCGTGACAATTCGTGCTCATTCGACGCTTATACAGCATCGCGATGTCCCGAATTACGTTCGAACAAATCGGCGCCGCATCATAATTCGATGCGATGCCGTGCAATTCAAATAAAGTCGATCACGTGAAGATGGTTAGGCTAGAAGCGATTTCAAATTTATTTTATATACGCGCAGTGCTGCACAGCCTATCTCGTAGGGCTGCCAACTGTTAAGGTGCGGCCTCATTGACGCTAAAAAGTAGCGTCAACCATTGGTTGAACAAGGAGGTAAGTATAGTTGCTTCATTGTTCAACCAATGGTTGACGCTACTTTTTAGCGTCAATGAGGCCGCATCTTTAAGAATTATTATTGTTATAAGGAAGCTTAATAATTTAAAAAATAATGAAATCAAAAAGTTACGAACAATTTATATGTATTTAAATAAGAAAATTACAATAATTGCACTCTTTTTTTATCAACTTTTAAATAAAAAAATAAAAAAAATTGAATAATATAAAAATTACTTATTCTATATTACAAAATAATTTATTCTACATCGCAGTAATACAATTCTTATAAATAGAAATACAACATTTGGGACATTTAAGGACTCTAAATCTAAGGCTAATATTACATTTGTCGTACGACAAATTTTTTAAGCACATTGATTGGCTGCGAGATAATAATTGTTTGAATGTTGGAAATTTTTCCCCCAGCCAATCAATGTGCTTAAAAAATTTGTCGTACGACAAATGTAATATTTGCCTCTCAATTGGCTAATTTTTGAAGTCTTGAAAATTTTTATATCCGACAGCCAATAGTGTTTCGCTGAAGAGACACCGGGACATAACGCCGCTTCTAGCGCGATCATATAAACGCAGCCTTAAGTTTGTCTTTTTACGTCGCATCTACTTCCATTCTAGCTGGTCCTTTCTGTTCGCGACCGGACGAGACGTGAAAGCGCAGTCGGGTTAGTTCACGTCTCATGCGTGAAAAATTATAGGAAGGATCTATCAAGATGGTAAGGAATTTAATTTCTCGTGCGCGAATGTCTTTACATCAAAATCCGCGATCTCCTCTTCCCCAGATTCCGCGTATTTTTGCGAAAACTATTTTGTCTTGAAAGATCGCACCCTATCGTGTGCTCGAGCGCGATGTAATTTCCATACTATTCATATGTAATATCTTATGCAAGTAGATATATTCCGCTGTTTTGACTGTTGTTATCTTTTAACGATATTTTGTTTCGTTTTTAATGTGATAACGTGTGTAAGACCTCGTGGAAGATATTTGTGTATGTGCGACACTTTCTGATAGCACGTGGCTCGAGAAAGCATATCCGGTATAATCCGCCATTACACGATATTGATGCCGTGTATGCAAGAAACGAAAGATATCTATAAATCATCAAATGGTAGAATAAAAGATTTAATTCTATAAATCATCAAATGGTAGAATAAAAGATTTAATTCCGATGTTAAAATCAAACATGAATTTAAGTGAATCAAATTATAGGCAAAAATAATCTTCGCGATTTTTTTATTTGCGATATAATTTTTGACATATGTCGCATGATGATGCGAGGTAGATGATCTTGATTCTTTCGAGTATATTTAAATATATGTAATCTTTGAGTTGTTAGATAATAAAAAATTATGTTAAATTTTAAATATTTTAAATAATTTTAAATAATTAGTTCGAAAGTATTATTCAAAATGTCGAAAGTCAATGGCTTTCTTTAGCCTGAAAGAAAATATAAAACAACTAAAAAAATTAATGTCTATTTTTACAGAAATTTCTTTTTAGTTTACAGGAAATAATATATTAAAAGTGAAGAATTAATTTGTAAGAAAATATTAAAAATCTTTTTGCATCCTACAATGCACATTATTAAAATATTCAAATTTGATATAAAATGTATCTAAACAAAATTCTTTTAAGAATTAAAGAAAATAATTACTCTTTTAACTGTTGAAAATATGATACTAATTTATATCTGTAATAATTTTATCTGTAAAATTGAATATACAATACTAAAAAAATATGCTTTATAAAAAAATTATTTAGTTGAGAAGGGAATACTCTTAATTTTTAATATAAAACTATATAATTATAAAAGTATTTCCTAAAGAACTAGTAATTTTCTGTTGAAGTATCTTTTTTAAATTGTATGTAATTATAAAATATATGAGAACAAAGCTCATCTAACATTTATTTTAAGTTTATTTATGATTTTTATGTTTATTTTATTTTATTTTAAAGATTCTATTATTTATTTCATAAATTGTTAGAGATAATAAAGAAGCTCTGTGTGAGAGAGTTTATTAGCAAAATCTTACTCAAATTATCTGTTATCATTAGAAACTGAATTTATTAGAATCATTCAATATTCTATAATGTGATGATACTAATTAATATATTAATTAATATATTTCCATTATTATATGTAACATAACTCTTTTTTTCAGTCGTTATCAACGGCACGACCGATTATTACGGTATATACCGACAAGAATGAAGCATCAGGTGATGTAATTTCTCTACCATCTGTTTTCAAAGCTCCGATTCGCCCAGACATTGTCAATGTCGTTCACCAATTAATTTCTACTAATAGTAGGCAACCATACTGTGTCTCTAAAGAGGCTGGTAAGTATACATACAAAATGATAATTAATAATATGTATTTGTAAGATTAAATATAGCTTTTCTTCTCTCTCCTAGGCCATCAAACCTCTGCTGAATCATGGGGCACTGGACGAGCTGTGGCACGTATACCTCGTGTACGTGGTGGTGGAACTCATCGTTCTGGTCAGGGTGCATTTGGTAACATGTGCCGAGGTGGACGCATGTTTGCCCCTACCAAGCCATGGCGACGCTGGCATCATCGCGTCAACGTTAATCAAAAACGTTATGCCCTCGTTTCTGCTATTGCTGCATCTGGTGTTCCTGCACTTGTGCAATCTAAAGGTGTGTACTTTTGCTAAGATAACATTTTTGAAAGAAAAAATGGGAACATAGATTTAAAAAACATTTATTGAAACTTACTTTGCACTTTTTTTCAATAATTGGGAAATATTGTGAGAAATTATAAAACATTTTTCTTATAATAAATATAATAACTTGCAAAATATAATTATATTAATAATTATTTATATTTTTTAATATATTCTTGTTTCAATGTTATTTTCTCTGATTTTAAGTGATAGAGATTTATTAGTATTATTATTTTTTTTATTAATTTGTAATTATTTTTTTATACATATTTAATTTAATTGAATTTGTTGATATTTTGTATAGAGATGAACAAATTATAAATATAACATTTATACAATAATATGCAGGACACTTGATTGAGGAAGTCCCAGAATTTCCATTGGTTGTTTCTGATAAAATTCAAGAATACACGAAAACTAAGCAGGCTGTCATCTTTTTAAGACGTATCAAAGCTTGGAATGATATCCAAAAGGTTTGAGTTTCAAATTTTAATAGGAATTTTTTATATCATCTCCTTTATGTTACATTCATATGCACCAACAAATGTCCGCATCTTTGCTAAGCGCGTTTAGTTCAGATGCTCCTAACAGATGCTAGAAAAATATGGTATTCAGGCGTTCTTTTCTAGTTAAATTGTACTTGAAAAGGGTATGAATTACCAAACAATATCTTTTGTTTTGTATTATCATGTATTTTTAATACTATGAGACATGCTATAGAAATAATTTTTATGATAATATAAGAGCTTTTTTTACTCCCGACTGCTGCCAACCTACGGTTTGCAAAAGATAGAGGGAATATGCGTTTTTTGAAATATATTAACAATTTTATTTTGTAAATGAATCGAATTCTTGTGAGAAATTTCTTGAGAATCAATTAAAATTAAATTAAATTCTCTTAAATTAAGTTATAAACTTTTTTTTTAATTTTAAATTTGTAACATATTTTATTCATTATTTATTTATTAGGTCTATAAGTCTCAACGTTTCCGTGCTGGCAAAGGTAAAATGCGCAATCGCCGACGCATTCATCGACGTGGACCTTTGATTGTTTACAATCAAGATCAGGTAATTTTTTTTAAGATTTAATATATTGTTTAATTAAATTTCCTATATACATCAATCGTATCAAAATTAAAATAAATTTTATTTATAAATTTAATCATTAGATCTCATATAAATCATGAAAAATCAAGAAAAACATAATTATAATAATCTCTGATTTTTAGGGCATCCGTAAAGCATTCCGCAATATTCCCGGCATCAGTCTGATGAATATCAATAAGATGAATCTTTTAAAATTGGCACCGGGTGGTCATGTTGGACGTTTTGTTATTTGGACAAAATCTGCTTTTGGACTATTAGATTCTCTTTATGGAACCTGGCGTAAAGAGTCGCAACTCAAAAAAGGATATAATTTGCCATTCCCCAAAATGGCTAATACCGATCTATCTAGACTTTTGAAGTCTGAGGAAATTCGGAAAGTCCTGAGGGCTCCTAGGTAATTATATAAAGAAATTATATATTATAATAATTAAATTGGAAAATGCATTTTTGTTTCCTTTTAATCTGGCAGCATTAAAGCTGTTATTTTGAAACATATCACATTATTCAGATTTGTATCATTGAATGAATATTGATTCTGTGACGATCGAATCTGATCTGCATTATTATGAATTTTGTGATCATATCTCATTATTGGTGATTGATACAATTTATTCAATATAATTATAGAAAGAAGGTGGTACGCAGAGTGAAGAAATTGAACCCGTTGACCAACACACGGGCTATGTTACGACTTAATCCGTATGCAGCCGTTTTAAAACGTGCTGCTATTTTGACCGCGCAGAAACGTCAACACGAGAGGGATGTTCTTCTCGCTGAAAAACGAGGTGTAAGTACATCTTTACTATCTTTTTTGTTTCTTATATATATTTTAGTGTAATAATGGCGAATAATTCTATATGTATATGAACAATCTCATAGGTAATATTATTTGAATAATAATAATCTTGAATCTAAAAAATATGTATTAAAAATATATATTATATCGAAGTTAGAATATTTCCACATTACAAAAAGATTATAAAGTAATTAAATTAATTAGAATAAAAAAATTTGATAAATATATAAAAACCGATAAAACTCAATATCTAAGTTATTATTTTAGGAGAAGATATAAAATAATAATTATTTATTTGATATAATAAATTTATTTTATTATTTATTAATTTAAAAAAATGTTAAATTATTTTTATATTTATTATTTGCAAAATTATTGTAGACTATCAGAAAAAATCAATTGCTGCAAAATGTGATTTAGAAATTGCAAATGTGTATTAGAAATTTTTGCAAATGTGTATTAGAAATTGCAAATGTGTATTAGAAATTTTTATTTATTAGATTCCATTCATTACAGATAAAATTACCGAAGGATGCACCGGCATTGAAGGCTATTGTTCTTCAGAAGAGGAGGAAACAACAACTTGCTAAGATCAAGCAGGTGAAACCTCGAGTGAAGAAAATAGAAAAAGATACTATGGCAAAAAAAGTGGAGGAAGATACTACGGCAAAGAAAATAGAGAAAGATACCACAAAAACCAAGAAACTAGCTGCTCCCAAGAAGCCAGCTAAGAAGTAAACAACAATCATTGATATGGTTGTTATTAATACATAATTTTTATTTCTGTCTCTGAATAAAAGAAAAGGCGGAAAAAATGCGATAATTGTGTTTTTTTTTTTAACGGTTTTCCTTTTTTTAATGCAAGAATAAGTTTGATGTATTATTCAATTTCTTCCACTTAATATCCAAAATAATGTGTAAATTGTATAACTGGTATTAAATAACACTCGTTTTATTAAATAAAAAATTCATAAAAATAATTGGATTAGAATGAAGAATAATTTGATGATTCTGAATTATATGTAACAATCAAAAACACATTTGTTAACTTTATAAAATTCCAGTTTTAATAATACATATTCAAAGTATGTATTATTCTAAATGTAATATGAAATAATTTATAAATAAGAGTTTTAAGACTAATCAAATCATAAATTTACTAATAAAAAGTAATTAATGTACATGTTTTGAAAGGAAAAACTAAATATTTATCATGTATCTACTATAATTTAAGAAATATATAAAAAGTCTGATAGAAGATAACGTAATGCATATCAATATACTCTGTCCAATGAGAGAAAATGGTCTGTGTATAGATAAGCAAAGTGGAGGTAACACGGCTCGTTATTAAGTCCCGATCTACAATAGTAATTTAAGTCCTAAAACCTTGGCCGATATTCATAGTCCGTTCTTATATTTAAGATCGTCATAAGTTCATCTTTAGATATTGTATGTATTATTTTATTGGCTACAGATTATCTGAAGATGAACTTAAGATGATCTTAAATATAAGATCGGACTATGAATACTGGCCCTTAAGAAATTGATCAATCACAGTCGAGTATTCTCTTTATACTTGACTGTGATTGGTCAATCTCTTGTGTATCACGATTAGGAATATTTAGGGAATAACACGTGACTCAAATAGCAGCCAATCCATCTCCTGCTTTCCCAGAAAAGCGGGAAATGATTCGCTGCATGCAGTTGTGATTGCATTAAAAAGTGGAGGAGAACTTGGTACGTTGTATTCTGAAGAAAAGGACAATAGAGGAGAAGGACAATAAAGAAGAAGAAAGTAAAGGGAGAATAGCAATGTGTAAAAAAGCATTCGCGTGGGCATGTTTTAGGTTTTAAATAGTTTCAAAGCATTTTTTATGTTAGCATTGGTTCAAATCAATTCAAGTAGAATTGAAAAATATATTTAAAAAATGATAAAAGAAAGTATAAAATAATTTATATAATTTATTTTCCACAAAACCTGTATTGTGAAAGTGTATTGTGAAATAGAATATACGGTACGAAATAGTAACATTCAATTTGATGCAACGCTCAAATAAATATAAAATTAAACAATTTGAACAAAAATCTTCAATAAGAAAGAATTAATAGAGTTAATATAAGAATTAAAAGAGAAAAAAAGCAATTATATTCTCGTGTATTTACTGTGAGCCACGTGGATCCATGGATCCACGTGACTTGCATAATTTCTGTTCGTTTTTTTTTTTTCGTAAACATCTTCTATTTAACATGTAGCATTTATATTAGCATATACAGTATTTTATTTTTACAAAAGGTATTTATTATGCAAGAAAAGAGATTATTGAAATAAAATTAATATAAATAAATATAATATAAATAAATATAATTTTTTAGATATAGTATATTTTTTAATTATATGTTTACAAATTTTATTTGTTATTATTTTACTACATATACATATGTACATCATATACACACACACACACACACATATGCAAAGAACCAAATAATATTAAAAAAGTTACTTATTTTTATTTTAAAAGAAAGACAATTGCAGAAAAAGGTTCACTAATGTATCTATAAAAAATAAAAAACTCTATTAATCAATTCAATTTATTTTCTGCACAGAAATATATTGCCATGTAACTATAAAATTTTCTTTTTACAGTGATAACAATGTATTTTAATAAAAAGTTAAAATCATCATTGGAAGAAAAACAAAAAGATGAAGAAGAAAGACGAATGAAAAGAAGGGAACAATGGCACAGAGAGCAAAGAATTCTAAGAGAGCATGAGGAACGAAAAATAAAGATGATCCAAAATTTTGAAAGGAATCGGGCTCAAGAAATTGTTCACAAGCAAAAATTACAACAAAATGAAAGTAACAATCCACAAAGAAGAACTGATTACAAATATCCTGAAGAGTAATATAGAAAATTATTTAATTATAAATTAAGTATTAAATGACACAAAACATTAAATTTTATATAATAATCGCTATAAAAAAATATAAATTTCTTATAATTTATAAATATAAATAGTATATATTATGAAAATTTTTATATAAAATATAATAATATTAAGACAAAATATAACTAACTGTGATATGAACACTTAATTTATTCATGAAAAATATCTTGGAAAATTCATGTAATATTTTTGAAATATTCTTAGATTGAAAATATCATCATCTAAATACCAAAGAAGTACAATTATTGAAGAAAAAGAGCTAAAGAAAATCAAAGTAAAAATTTATTGTGAAGAAACTCATAAAACAAGGAATAAAAACATATCAACAGATAAAATTGAACGAGATATTTGTAATCCGGATGACATAGTTCTTCAAAGAAGAGAATGTATAGTATTATGCTATTTTGTTATAATATTTATAACTTCAAAGATACAACATATTGCATGACTAATTATATAGTATTATGTAATTGAAAAACATATATAGTGAAAAAATAACAAAATTTAACAAATACATGATATATACAAAGAGTTGAATTGATTACAAAAGTGATAAATTATAGATGAAAGCATTGGCCCCATCTTTGAGAAAATAAAAACAGCACAAGATAAGATGCAAACCTTGGAAGATAAGATGCGAGACAATAAATTAGGTACTTGCATTATTATTTATATTTTGATTTAAATTTATATTTTCACTTATATTTATATTTTGATAAAAGTAAGTAATAATTAGTCAAATTCATTTTTAATTTAGTGTAATTGTAATGTCAAAGTAGTATACTTGAAAAAGTAACATATACACATACATGCATGCACTGAAAAAGAATAATTCTATAGAATAATATAATATACATATAGAAGTCATTATAGAATAACATAATATACATTTTATGTTTATAAAAACTATTAAAATTTATCTCTATAACTTTTTGCTCAAAAATTATTCTTTAAAAAGAAATAATGATAAATTTAATAATGCGTATATATGCATACATCTTTAAATATATGTTTTACGCACACACACACACACACACATGTGTGTGTGTGTGTGTATATATATATATATATATATATATATATATATATATATTTAGATTACAATAGAATATAAATTAAATAAAGTAATAGTATATATAAATATCAGCAAGAATATTTGGAATATTATTCTAGAAAAAAAAGTGTCAGATGAAGAAAGCATTGACATCCGGAAGAATAAATCTATCTACAAATATAAGATAATCCCTCAATATAGGTATGTATTGAGAATAACATATTATATAAATATAATAATTTAAATATTATAATAATATTAAAATTATAAGAGCTATTTACGAGTTCTTAAATTCATTATACAACAGTAGTGATACATAGCTATACATAGCTATAAACAATTAAACTTATATTGAGTATTGCTTATATATATATTAGATTGGTGAGTTTTTTCGTTTTTTAACATTAATTTTGATTACCAATCTAATATATGTTATATTTTTATATGGATATATATATTGAGTATTGCTTATACATACATACATACATAAAAACCAGGTGTTGTTTCAAAAGTCGAGTTGAAAAGTTCTGAATCTTTTTTTTTTCTATAATGCTTCATGAGGTAGTAATTATGGAGTAAAATTGCATCAATCAGCATCGACTTTTGCTCAGGAATAACACTATGCACTTAATAGATCCTTTTTAAATTACACCTTATATATATTAATGTATATATATATTGAATATTGCTTATATATATATTTAATTGCTTGTATATATACTTAACATATATATATGTATTACTTATTTATTATTATTTGAAAATATTATTTTTATACAAATTTGTTAACAGTAAAATTAAAAGATTTTGAGTTTGTTCTTGAATTTATATAACATTACATAGTGTTAAGAGTATAATTACAAGCTAAGAAATATATACATAGATATATAAATATTGAGAAAGTATTACTTATATATACATATATTTAATTACTATTAAAGTGAAAAGACATTGAACAAATAATCTAATTATTAAATAAAGATAAAATATAGATGGATTAAAATGAAAAAGGTAAATGAACAAACAATTAAATTAATTACCAATGGTATAGAACAAATTATAAAATTAATTAATTATATTAATTTTTATAGAAAATGTCCATTTATTGTTATAAATATATTATAAATATTTACTTAAATGTTTAGTTAATTTAAATCTGGACTCAGTTTATAATCTATAATATATATTAATTCGATTATACAAGACACCCAGACAGTTTGATCATTGTTAGGAAAATTAAGAATTATATAACTGAGAATATTACCTAAATATCTGAGGGAGATTCTAAAGTATATGTTATAAAATATATGTTCTAATGACATTTTTTAACCAGTTACAGTATAAGAAGACAGAAAGAAGAAACTTAGACTTGGATTTTCAAAGGAAAACCTTCAGTAATTGGCATTTTGCTCATATATATATATATATATATATATATATATATATATATATATTGAATAATTATTGATGATGTATTTAGTGTAGTAATTAGCATAGATTTTTATTTGTTTTTTACTTTATCTACTTTTTTGTATAGTTTATATTTTGTAGTTACTTTTTATTTTTGTCTATTTAATCTTTATCACACTCTTTCTTTCTACATATTTTTAATTAGTGATAATTATCCTCTTTCATAGATATTAATTTCTGAATATAATTAATTATTATATAATACTTTGATGGGGATGTATGTGTATATATATATATATATATATATATATATATATATATATATATATATTCATACATCGTCATTTTCTCTCTCTTTGAAAGCATCATTTATACATTAATAATACATGAATTAAATCAGTGACCTAAATGATAAAAATCATACAATTTTTATTTAAATAATTTCTTTTTTTAAACTTAATGTGATAATTATTTGAATGTAATTTTTCAGTGAAATATTTAGCAATGAAATGGGAATTATTCATGATGAACAGTAAAGTTTTATTTTAACAGGATAAATAAGAATTAAACAAGAAGACCGAAGACTGTGACGTGAAGTGTTAGAACATAAAGCAAAAAAAAATATACAGAAAAGGTATAAATTGCTTGAAACGCAAAGGATAAATAAGCTTCATATAACAGGTAACAGATGAACTTTTTATAACAGATGAGCTTTGCATAATGGGTAAATACATAATTTCATATACATATATCCATTAGTAGATATTAGAAAGAAAGAGAGAAAGAGAAGGAGAAAGATAATATCCAATATCGGATAATAGCTTAATATTACATAAATTTAAATTTAAATTTTATTAGCTGTTACAAAAAGAAAAAGAAAATATACCTGATAGATAATAATGTGAATAAAAAGAATGAAATTAGGATCAAAATTAAAGAATTATAAAAATTTTGGCATCTTTTGAAAAAGAAGACTTCAGATCATTCAAGTTTTATTGGTTTATAAAATAAATCTCTTCATATTGAAGTACATACATATTCTCGAATATTTGTTTTTCAGTATTAAATTTTTATTCATAAAAAAATACTTCAATATTATTAAATTTAATGAAGAATATTGTTCTAGGACGAAAAATTAGATTTTACATCTAATATGTAATATATTCAGAATTTGTTATAAATAATGAAATATCAAAGTCTGAATAAATGAAATATTTTATAGCAATTCAAAAAGTAATATATACCAATATTCTCTCTCACTTATTATTAATGTAAATAATTATAAGTATTGCATTATATATGCACACATTATATAATTGAAATTATTTCTGAATCGTTTTTGATAGCCATATAATTAAAAGTAATTATACACGAATATATGTATTAAATATATGGCTATATTATGGATATAAAGTTGGTTTATAAACTAACAATAAACACAATCTTCATTTCAGAAATGAAATAAATTTTTCTTTATTTTATTGAATATGAATCTGTTCATTATTACTATCTAGATACTTTTCAGAACTTTAAGTTTGTTTTTGACAAATAACTATATGTTATAACTATATGTGTACATTTATATAAATATATATGAAATGAAGCATTTTTATTAGAATCATGTAATTATTTAATCTTTTATTTTCAATTATATATGGATATGTTATGGATATAAAGTTGTTTGAATTAAATATCATTTAAGAGTTAATTAGACATATGTTAACATTTTTATAATTTTAAAAGAGAAGAAATTTATCAATTTTAAAATTTTATAATATCGACAAAGAGAAATATAAAGTAACTCTTGTGCAATAATCATTTATGATCTTGATTAAGTAATATGTGATTCATCACTAAATCAATAGCCACTGCTAAACCTTTATTTTATTTAAATTAATATTAGTATTTTTTAAATATATATTTTACAAAGAAAACAAATCTAATAGTAGAAAAATATCTTAAAATGCAATATTCATGTTTTAGAAAGCAAAGTAAGTCGACAAGACAGAATGAAGAAGAAGATAGAAATAAGAATGAAAGAAGAACTAGCAGTTTATCACGTTGTAATAGTGACATAGCATCTACTGTTAGAGATAGATCGCGTTTTCGCAGGTAACAAATCTCTGTTATTAATATACAGAAACGATAGAATTGGGAAAATATAAAAAAATAAATGACTTAAAATAAAAAATTTAGAAATCCTAATAAAAAGAAAAATTCTAATAAGTATATGTTCTGAAGAGTTTATAGACTATTCTATATAATTATTAATCTAGTTTAAAAATTTATATAATTAGAAAGTTGTCTAATTAGGAAACTATCGTATTATACTATTCTGCTGTTTTGAGCAAATGTTTTTTATAATATAATGGAATTATGACTCAAATATAATTCTAAAATATATTTTTGTTGGATATAATGCACATAAAAAATATTTTTTTTTTGTATTTTAGAAGCAGAAGTAATTCGTCTTCAAATAGAGCTACAAAAGAAGAGCAAGACTTCAATGAAAATAAATTTTCATCTAGAAGAAACTTCAATGAAAATAAATTTTCATCTAGAAGAAACTTCAATGAAAATAAATTTTCATCTGGATCACATAAACCGTATGATGGAGTATCGCATGCAGAATTAGCCACAAGCTATCCTTCTTCATATAATTTTTATGATACTTGCATGGTAAGTATAATTAATGTTGAGGAAATTAATATAACACAATTGATTAAAATGCCTTCGTTTGAATTGCTTAATATAAAGACTTACAGAGTTAAACAAATGATTGATTATTTGAAATATAAACATTGAACAATTTTAGTGAGTATTTAGATCACAAAACTTATATAAAATATTTGCTCCAGCGTTTTCCTGGACCGATGCCAATGTACAGAATGCAAACACCGCCCATGATGTGGCCTATCGCGCCACGACCGTTTCCTCCGCCATTTCCACCGAATATGATTAGGTGGCGACCAAATCCTCCCAGTAAGTTTGCATATCATTAACTGAGAATCAAATTTTTCTTTAAAATTTCTTTGATGACATTTTTCTTAAATTTTATGATTGAATTTTACACTTCATTTTATTTTCATTTCTTTTTATCTTTAATTTGTTATCATTAGATTTAGTTTGTTTCATATCCAAATTAATCTGATTACTGATACTAACTTTTATAGAAGCATTAACATTGCACAAATTAAAAAGAGAGAATTAAATTTTTATCTTTTTCTTAACTTTTTATATTTTATATTTTTTATAAACATGAAAAAAGATACAAGAGAATTGTATGATAGAAAAGATGAATTTATTTTCCTATGTTAACAAATATATGAATCTTTTAACTTGAAGAAATGAAGAACAAAAAATTATTTTAAGAATTATTTTGGATATCTCCGATTTTTTAATATATGAGAAACTATCTCAGAAAAAGATTTTGCAGAAGTTTAAAGCATAAAAACAAAAATTTTCAATGAATTTTGTTGATATTTTGAAGCTATTTTAATTTCTTAATATTTTTTAAAATTTCAAATAGAAATAAATTTTTCTCTTTTGGATTTTTGTAGTGCATGACAAAGTAATATCAACAATAAAATCTATGATTCAATTGATAATTCTTGATTTTATTTGCATGTCTAATGTAATGGATATACTACATTTTTGTAATTTAATATTGTGTACTCTACTGGGAAAAATATTGATAACAAATTAATTTATATGATTCATTGAAGATTGATAATATGTAGAATTTAAAAGTCTTTTCGAAATAGGTTTTCTTATTTTGTGAAATTTAGTGTATATATATATATATATATATATATATATATATATATATTTTATATAACAAAATAATAAGTAATATATATAATAAATATAATGACAATAATAAGTAAAACACAAAATTACAAATTCTAAATATATTCTAATAAAATTCTACAGGATTTTCCAATGTCGATAGAGGATTTTATAGAAATTGATGCCACGTATATAATAGTAATAGTTTGAATGAAAAGAATATAGTATAATTACGTATAATTGAGGAAACAATACATGTTATGTTTAAATTTTAATTAGTAAGATAGTGAATGTATCCCAAATAGATATATTTACCCAGATAGTACCAGATGTTACCCAGATAGCTGCATTAGATAGATATAAAACTAATCTTAGTATTATTATTACAATCGAATATCCATATTATAAAATTTTATTTTTAATTCTCATTTTTATTTTTATATAATAGGAAAAATAAATCGTTTTATATGTATGGAATATAAAAATATGTGTTTTATCTTTGTATTATTTTTTAAAGTTGATTCAGGATTGCAATATATAAAAGATTCTATTATATGGATTATTTGAATGTAACAAAAATTTTTTTGTTATTAAATTTATTTAATAAGTATTTGTACTAAATAAGAAATATTTGTATAATTCTGATAACATTTTTTTTATAATTCTGAGTATATAACATTAATTTGATTAGGGATTTTATTTGAATAATAATAGAATAATTATAGATAAGCTAAAACACATTTGCACAAAGATATAACATACAAAACATTGTGATTCATTATAATTACTATTTTATTATAAGAAAATATTTAAATCTTGATAATATTGTATTCCTTTTTAGATCATAGTTTTATTTGCGATATATATATATAAGCAAATAATAAATAAAATGTTAATTGTATATATGTGCTCTTGACATTTTTTTATAATTTCCTTTGTTTATATTTTGAGAAAGGATTCTTTCCTTTCGAGATTTCTAGAAAAATTCCTTTTTCGATATCAAGAATCTTTCAAACGGTGAATCATATGCGATCCAAGATAAAGATAAAGCGATTGTCTTTCCTTGTCCAGTGCGATCAGTATGCTATTACGGAAATTTCCCTATGCTCTTTGCTATGGACTTTAAGGCCTTTGCACAATACTAGGCAACAGGCAATAAGAATAGAAATAGTATCTATTCTCTGCTCCTATTGGCGAATATTTTCTATTCGCGTATTTATTGGTGAATAGTTTCAATTCCTTATTCCTATTGCATGTTGCCTAGCATTGTGCAAGGGTCTTTACTGCTGCAAATCTAGTGATATTTGTAACTGACCTGATTCCTCGAAAAGTAATTTTCTTGTCTCTCCTGCTGATTTGTGAAATAAACAATAAGCAATAAACGATACTGTCTGCATTAATCAATAAGAACAGGATACTCAGTAAAAATAGCGGCTATGTTTACATGGTAAAGATTTAAATGACAATTATAAATTAAATTATAAACAAGAATAGATGTGAAATTAAACGAAATGAGAGCTATATTAATATTCGATCATCTGAATGATGTGTTGTTTGCAAAATGCAATAAAAAATTCGCTAATCACATCTTGAAACTGGCAACAATACAAGGATTACTCGATGACAAGGTAAGGTTTTGATAACAATAATATGTCGATTCTGAAAAAAAAAAACACTTATATACAAATTCTACTAGATGTTCCTGAAAAAGAACAGAAATTATTAAAAAGTTATTGCAATATTTAGATGTGAAAAAAGGACTCAAACATAGCAGATAAATTGCTGATTATAATTTATTAATAAGTAATCGTTAATACTTCTTATAGGATACTAAAGATTTGGAAAATTTTATACTAAGTCCCAACATTATAATGCAGCTGTTTTCACCCATTGTTACCTCTCAGCATGTAATGGCTTCACAATTTGGAAACTCCTATACTTCCATGAAATTTCAAGATGGAACCAATATGGTATTCGATGAATATATAGGCTACATCTTCATATATATTGCCATGAAAGAGGTAGAACTCATGAAACGTACACTGGGAGTATGTGTATCCATTGTACGGCATGTGTGTGGTCCAGATATTGCAATGTTAGTATGTAGTTAATAGATTGTAGTTGGTAGTATATAATGAAATAAGTATAAATGTAAAGAAATATAAGAGATTGTAAGAGTTATACTTATTTATCATATTTAGTAGCAAATGTATTAAGATATTACAATGACAGTAGCTTTTCATTTTTCTATTTTCTATTAACAAGAAAAATTTAGCAAATAAATTATATTTGAAATTGAAAGTACTCATGCTTAGCTCAGCATTGCATATTATAACCAGATTATAAATGATTATTATGATTAATAGAATAGAGAATATAATAATGATTACATCATGATAATAGCAATTTTTGCATTTAATTTTTAATTAATGCAGTTAATCATTTTTTCTTCGCAGATTGAAGACCAATTGGCAAAAAGTGTGCCTAGTATCTTCTTTGATGGACGCATGGTCTAATTTAAGAAATTGCGAACAGAGTATACTGACGGAAGCGGTGGAACAATTGTCTGTGAATACAGAGGTAGCTTCCTCAGTCCTCAAGGTGCTGCATGATGCCTGTGACAAGCTAAAAAATTCACAGCCCGAATTTAGCAATCTGCATATGCTACTTTTAGTGGATTCTAAATTTTTGTCACTATACTCCAGCAAGAACGCTCATGATTTATATGCTTCGGATATTTTATTGATGATACTATTGTGTTGGGTTATAAATAATAAACGAAAGCATGATCGATTGGAAAGTAATGATGATAATGTGGGCAATGATGATGACAATGATATCCTATTACCAGAGAGTAGTGCTTCCAAAAGTGATGAGACGAAATTAAACTTTGGAGCTAAACTGGCTGCTCCTACTTCAGAAGATATTACAGATCTTTTTCGTAGGTTCTTGCAATACATAACTTGTTTTGGACTAATAAATATATTTTTTCATTTACATTATTACATTCATATACATTTTTTCATTAACATATTAATGTTTAATATAATGTTTAATATAATAAAAAACTTGAAATGAGAATAAGAAATTTAATATAAATAGATTATAGTTATTTTTTATCTATTGTAGGAGGTTCGAGAGAGTCTTCCGTGAACGAAGGTCTTTCATCTTTGACTGACGATGATCTTTATAGTCAATTACTCCTTCTTGGCTGCCAGCATAACTACACAGCTAACGCAGTTCACATCTTTGAATTATCAGACTCCATCAATCTAATAACAATCGTCGAAGCTACAAATCTTTCGATTTCTTCAGGATTATGCGATAGTTTCCATTATTTAAATCTGATAAACAATCTGCAGTTTCAACGAGATCTCGATGAATTAAAGCCTGCTTTTGAGAACCTTGATGTAGCAATAAAAAAGATGCTGGAAGGAATTAAAAAAAATCGTTCTAATGTCGGTAACGATGTCGATATGTGTCAGAAAAGATTGCAAACTAAGTGGGATTTTGTTCGAAAAAAATATAGCGATCTATTGCGCTCTAGAGATCTGGAAGTGGTTTTGCAGATCGAGGCTAATACTTCCGGCTTTCTGGAAACTCTGAAAGAATTATTACGTTTGACTTGTTTTGATAGAAATTTTCTAAAGCAAGGAATCGATGTGCTAACGACGGTTGGTAGACTCGTGAGACAGAAACTGAATGATTTCAGCGATTTTCTGAAAGTTAAAGCTCTGAAGAACTTCACACTAGGATCATATCCTTTTTTAAAAAAATTTGAATAACATGATTATAATTTGTTTTTTTTATTTAAGAAATGTTTATTTATTGAATTTTTATTTATAAAGTTAAAAATTATTTATATTAACAAAAAATTTTTATTCATAGAATTTATGAAATTTATAAAGTTTCTTTTGATGTTTGAAAACGAAAATAATAAGAAAATACATACAACATTAAAGTAATAATGTATATAAAATATGTTTTTAATGTTTTATCATTGAATATTCTACATTTAATTAAAATCAAATTATAAAAGTAGAATTCTCTCCTTGTTTCTTAGGAAAAGTGATAAAAAAATATTAGAATTTTTCAATTATAAATATTTTGTTTTTTACGAAGTTATTTGGGAAATGTTTAATATAAAAATCATATTACATATACAAAGATTCGAAAATATATATTTTTTATTTAGTATATCTCCTTAATGCTACCCATTTTTCAAGAACTTCCCTAACTATCAACAAGTATCTTGAAGAGTTTCCGGGTTTGGTACACTTTATCTACATCGACAGGACGACCCATAGACTCGTTGCACCTACGTTAGATTTCACGAGTACAGAGACGCTCGCTCTCACGATGAAAAAAGTGAGTTCTATCAATCAACTGCTTATACATAAAATATAAAATACCTGGAAATTATCAATATATTAATATGAAATCAAATTAATTTGAAATTTAGTTATCAATACAAACTAGATTACATTGATTACAGAGATATTTGATTATAGAGATATTTGATTTAACATATATATTTTTAAAAAATTAACATTTATTATCATCAGTCTCAATCTGATCGTTTGCTAAAGAATGAGAAAAACAGAAAATAATATAAATACAGGATTTTTACATGAGCCTGGATTATATACCAAATAAGACTCTTACACAGAAATCCTATAAATACAAAGGAAAAATGTTTATATATGGACATTTTTTCTTTTTAGATTTGGAATATGGTCGAGCAAAGCAGAATGCATTTACAAGAAGGTCATTTATCAATTATGTGGAAAGATACTACATTCAATTATTCCTATTTTCTGTGGTTTGAGGACAATTCTGTATGTGAAAAGTTCTATCTATCCATATATAAGTATATAATTTTTTATACTTTTTCAGGGCTGTTCACCGCCAAAATGTAAAGTCTATCTCAATTATGTGATGAAAAATTTTCCGATACCGGGTATACTTTGTGGAGATTATTACAGGTTATATTTATAGTTACATTCTCTTTTGAATTTTTTTTGCCATAGCATTATTTTATTTTCTATTTAAACTTAATATAATTGCTCAAATTTGCCATTAAAAAAATATTGTTCTAATGCAATTTGTCCTAACAGAATAATTGTTATAAATGTATACAAATTTAAAATTTTTTAAAATACATATATATTAGGCAATATAATAACAAGAAACAGAAACATTATTTTATTAATTAATCAGCATAATCAAGTTTTTTTCGATTTAGTATTAACGTATAGAAAGAATATTTAAGAATATATAATATTTAAAATAATGTTACATATAACAAAAATTACTTTTTTATTATTAATAAAAGAAGTTTTTCCCCCAAAATATAAATAGTGATAAAACTATAAATTAATATAGTGATAAAGCTATAAATTAATATAGTAATGAGTAATGATAATATCTCAAAAATTTAAATAATTTTTTTTCTGTGTAGAAAACTAACCGAGACGTGCTTTCCTAAACTTTCACCGAGCAAGGTTCGGATTTACGAACTGTATTGCGTACATTTAGGATTAACCACATCAACATGTGTTTTGGAACATTCTCGAAGACTAGCAGCTACTATCTGGGAAGTTACCGGAATACCAAATAATCTTGCAGATATATTCTAAATCCCCAAATAAAAGTCTTTGATTAGCATTATGTAATTTTCAGATAACTTATTCTTCAAATTTTGAATATATTTCAAGCCGTCATCTTATATTTTCGAGTATTTCTTTTGAAGTATTTGGATTTCTGTGATATTTGTTATATATTCTTATATTTTCTTTTCTAGTTTCCATTATTTTATAACGATGTTTTAATACTTTGACTCGCACATAATTATACTTCCGTAAAATTTCTAACAAATGAAATAAAAATGCATTTTATTAAAACACACAAATATTGTATTTAAATTTCTCATTTATATATTATAAAGCATCTATTTTTTCACTATGATTATATTAAATTATGATGTCAAAAGCGAAAAATAATATAATTTTTTTTTTCTCAACGAGGAACCAGGAGCATTAAGTCATTCAATATAAAATATTATATAAATTAACGGAAACTTCATTAATCCATTTAAAAAATTTTGTTTACTTTTATTAATATTTTCAATCCTAGTTAGGCATGTATCAACGTAGCCAGTAAATATAATAATATTAATTATGTAAGTTATTGTTTTACTTATATAACACGAAATATAATAATTATCATTTTGCAATTTATTTTTATATTTACAAAGTATTTTTAGTGTGTACTAACTAAAAAGTTTACATGTTATTTTATAGCAAAATATATTTACTTTGTATGGAAACTCAATGGCACAATAAATATGAATTAAATGAAATAAGAAATAAAACATATAATTAATCTTTTGTTGAACTCTTAATCAAGTTTTTCGAATTTTGTGCAGAATTTAAGGCACCTATAAATAGAATAATTGATACAAAAATTGTTTTTAACTTTTACCATAAACATATTCTTCTCTCAAAGATCAAGCACAGTTTCCGTCAGAGATATCTTTTGATCTTTTTTTAACTATGAGATTTCTTTTTTTTCCTTTTTACATTCCTTCAAATTTTCTTCAATTTTCTTCAATGTTGTGTTTTTTATAACATTAGAACTTTCTTTTTTTTCAAAAATCTTTAAAATCTCAAATTTTTAAATATCTGAAGTTAAAGAGAATCTGAAGTATTTCTCTGAGGTTTAATTTCTCTACTCAAATGTCCAATGGCGCCATTGAATTGCACTTATCCAGATTTGTTTTTTTTGTCACCTGACTGTAAGACCTATAAGACAATATATAATTAAATATATTAATAAATACAATAAATATCAAAATTATTTTATTCATTAAAAATTTAAAGAGAATATATCTTTGTCAATTTAAAATGATTAATTTTCTTGTAGAAATCTTTTATTTCATAAGTTTGTAATCCATGATAAACTTAAATAAAAGGAAACAATATTACTCATTTATATTTATATTTTAATTACTTCTTGTTCTTCTTCCCAAAAAATTAATATTTCTTTAACAACTTTTTTCTTTTGTTTTTTTTTAAATTCTTTTTTCATATTTGCTTCTAATTCCTCACCTGAGAACAGGAGAACTAATAGGACATTCTGCATCAGAAAAATCCTGTTCTGGAGGTGTAGTGCTTCTTTCCCGGGAGGAATGCATGTGAGATGTGCCTGGAGTACGACGTATTTTTTTCATGCCTGGTGTGAATTCGTGACTGCCTCGACCGCTACCCCTACCTCTACCCATGCTTATCTCACTGCCTTCTTGGCAAATGGATTCTGTGGCAATTTCCGGAATAGAACGTCTGCTATTGGTGAAGAAATTCTGCGTTTCTTGTTGTTGGTTACCACTTTCTTGCAAATTACTACGCCCCGCTCGGCGAGATTTTTCCGCGCTTTTAGCGATGCAGGCGGCGGTATTACGGCAAACCGTTCGATTATTGGGACCAACTGATTGAGTCTAAATTAGAGAGTAATACATATATATTATAGCACTTTTAACATATAGTACTTTTTAATTTGAACATCAACATTATTTGCAATTTTAAAATTTAACTTAAGACGTTATACTGAAATATTTAACGAAAATTTTAAATAATTCCGAAAAAGATAGCGAGTTTGTATAAAATTTTCGACAAGAAAAAAATTACACAAAAATTCTCAAAAAAAGTTTGTAATAAATCAAAAGAAATATAGTTAATTTGAGATATATTGTATTACTATATATATTGTATCACTTAATATCTAAATAAATTTTTAAGATTACATACACAAGATGGAATATGTTCTCTTTGGAGACACGCGTCATCGCCGATCCTCACTTCATTTTTCTTCGAAGAATCGATTTTCTCCGAAAAGCAATTATCCTTACTTGCCTTGGAGATCCTATCGCAGTTTTCTCCATTGATTTTCAACCTTTTGGCTAATTGTTGTGTTGCGATTTTGATTTTTAATTCGTGTACTTGCTTTTCTAATTCGGCTACCTCCAGATCGGATTCGCATACTTTTGGAATCAGTGACATCAAGTGATGTTCAGCAGCCTTTTGAATTAGCATGGCAGAATCTAATCCATCTATCCTCGCCACATCCAAACTATAAAGAATATATATCTATACTAATTGCTGATTGATATTTTATTGATATTTAATGTTAAAGTATAAGAAGACGAGTTCAAGTAACAATAAACTTGTAGAAACATAGAGAATCAAGGAATTTGCATATACGACATTGAGTTTAAAAAAAAACTCAATATTAAAGTGATATATAATAAATGGTAAATAATGATAATAAATATATAACAGTTCACAGTATAAATTTCTTATTAAATAAAAAAATATATAAAATATATAAAAAATATATATATAAAATAAATATAAAAAAATATATAAAAAAGACATTAAAAAAATTCATAATATTTCATATAATACTAACTAATAATTGTTATGTAATTAATTAATATTTAATGTTTGATATTTCAAATTATGAAAATATATATGCAGTTATATATATTTTGTTTTTAATGTCTAAATGTATGTATGTATGTGTATATATATACATACATTTAATTATTAGGTTAATAAACTAAGATTTTGAAAATAGTTTCTTATATTCTGAGATAAAGTGAAATAATAAATTATAATAGTTATTACATTAATAAATATTTACTCACTTCAATGATTCTATTAATTTAGTAAAGCTATCAGGTGTGCGTGTAGACTTTCTGACAGGTGTCGGTTTATAATCTGAACCATCATGCCTGGATGCATCATCTCCCAGATTGTTTATTTTTAAAGATATCGGTTCAAACATCCTATAATAATCAATAATAAAACAAATTGTAAGACAATAATATAAATAGCTTTCATCATTCATCAAAGTAAAAATTATTTTTTGTGTAATATATGGATATATCTATTAAAAATATCAATTCATGAGATATTTCACATTTTAAATAAAAGTTCTCATAATTATATTATATCTTTTAAAAGATATATATTCATGATATATAAATATAATTAATTTCATGTCAGCAATAATTCAAAATAAAAATTTAAATCATAAAGAATTAATTTATAAATAAAAGAAGATTAATTCCCAGATTCTAAATATAATTGCACATTAAGTTACACCAATCGAAAAAGTAAAATTATGTAAAATTATAATATAATCAATATATTTCAAAATTAAATGATAAATTTGAACAAATTTATGTAAAGATAAAAGTCCTCATAATTATGTTATAGTCTTTGAAAATACATACTCATGAATAAATGTAATTAATTTTGTCAGCAATAATTTAAAATAAAAAGATTTAAATCACAAAGAATTAATTTATAAATGAAAGAAGATTAATTCCCATATCCTAACATAATATTTACCCTCGTTTATTATGCCTCAGGAACACATGTCGAAACTTGTGAGTGCCAGATGTTTCAGAAGTAGAGGCATTGAGAAGGCAGGTGAGAAAGAAATCCTCCTTACAGCCATTTACACCAGAGAAATGTGAGGCAAACTGTTTATGCAGAAGCTTATCCTTTAATGTAAGAGTTAAATTGGTAGTATTTCTGCGAAAACAGAACCAACCAATCACTTGTTTGCTTTTATCACGCACAAAATCCTTCAATTTCTCCTTATTGATATGATTAGTGGAGTCATGTAAAAGATCAGCCAAAGGACATGTTACAATGGCCTCTACATCTGAAAGAATGATTAATATTTTTTATAGTATGATAAATTATAAATATTAATATAAATTATAAATAATAATAATAATAATAATAATAATAATAATAATAATAATAATAATAATAATAATAATAATATACTAATATACTAACTATAATAATAATATACTAATAATAATAATATACTAAAATCGTAATTGAAAAATGAAAGTTGTTAATATTATTCTACTTAAATGACTTTTAGATGACAATTTTTTTTTGACAATATAGATAATAATATAATAATAATATACTAATATACTAACTATAATAATAATAATAATAACATACTAAAGTCGTAATTGAAAAATGAAAGTTGTTAATATTATTCTACTTAAATGACTTTTAGATGACAATTTTTTTTGACAATATAGATAAATATAGGTAAAATGGAATTGTTTATTTAAAAAATATTTACGTAAAACTTGATAAATTTTTATAGCTTTTTATGTGTGTGATTAATACCAATATTATTATTATTATTATTATTATATTATTATTGCCGTTATAATTCTGACATAATTATTTTAATATAATTTCTTGTTTAATTTACAGTAATTAAATATTCAAACATTTAATAGAGATTTCTAAATTTTTACACATTTTTATTTTAATGCATAATATACTTCTCGTGGAAGAATTAAAGATTTCTACAATTTTAAAGTTTATGATATAATTACACAATTAGTTTATGATATGATTACATGAAAATCTTCACATTCTTAATAAATACGTTTAAGTAAATCAAATCATATGATCTTAGGATATATTGATTATATATTATATAAATCTGCGCGTTTATTCGATCTATATGACAGATTTCCTAACCTTGAAAACTTGATTTTTTAATGATTTATTTTTCTTACAACATTAAACAATAATTTTATTTTTAAATTTCGTTTTATGTATAAAAAGAACTCAAGTAAATACATATATTTTCATTAAAATCTGACGTTTTTAAATATTTATCATCTGCCCTTTTCATTATCTGCACTTTTTGCATCTTTCTAAAATTAATTTGATTTGCACTTTCTGCACTCGATCCCTCTCATCTCTTTCGTTGTTTACAAGTAGACATAAAGCGTCCAGGTAATTACACTCACTAATATGAATTTTGACGGTCTCCACTTGATTGTCCGAGTCGGTGTAAGTCTTGACAATGAATTCGAGCGCCTCCCCGAGAAGGAAGCCCATCTATAAGATTACAAAACGTCATTTTTGCCACACGTAGAGGTTATAAGAGAACAAAAGCGCGTGTTTAATTTCTTGAGCAACGGAATTTTTATCGGCAGAAAGTCATGTAAAATTATTAAAAAATTATGACACGATCGAATTTACCTGATTGCCGACACTGCGGACATTCTCGAAGAAGAGCAGCGAAAGTGCCGCGCCCGAGATCGTAACGAGTAAGTCGCTATCCGCCATGTTGACGAAGAGTGCTCAGTACTCACTGAAAATTCTTCCTCTGACGTAGCCGCGCATGCGCCGATTCATAATACTACAGAGGGATGCACGCATTTAAAAACCTTTTATAGAACATGGATTATATTTATATTTAAATTCAGTTAAAGCGGATATGTATCTTACACTAATGCAATATATATATATATATATATATATATATATATATATATATAATTGTATATAGCAAAAATTAATTTTATTTAACGAAAAATTATTTTCCATGTCAGAACAAATCACACACAATCTTTGAACTATGTATTTGAACTATATATATTTTATATATTATTTATATAACATATATATAGTTCAAAGATTATGTAAGATTTCTTCCGATATGAAAAATAATTTTTGATTAAATAGAAATAAATTGTTATACATATAATGTGACACAGGTTATATACAATAAATATATATATTTTCCAATATGATATTTATTAATAGTCTACATTTCATAATGTAGACTATTATTTTATTTTATGAGCATTGTTCGTTTTATTTTATGGCACTAATAATTATAAATTATAAGACTTCGAGACCTACTGTGTCTTGAGTGACCAAGTCTTTTCATCTGAATTAATGAACGTTACTTGATCATTTGGCTGACATCTGATAACAATTGTTGAAAAGCTTTGATCTCAAAAATTAATTGCTCTTATTTTGACTATTATTATTGTTAATACACACAAATGATCCGGAAGATTTATAGAGTAGTTCTTGAAAAGAAAAATAAATTTGCTTTTCTTTACTTATTAGCAGCGATCGATATCAAATATGAAGATATATTAGTGTATTGCGTAATACTTATATTTTTTCGTATAAATTGTTGTTTTATTTCTTGAGACAAAAGGATTTGTCAGAAGTGGGATTCGAACCCACGCCCACAGAAGTGGACTGCGACCTGAACGCAGCGCCTTAGACCGCTCGGCCATCCTGACTTTGTGTTGGTCCAGTGATCAAGGCTCAGTCAGACAAAGACTCGACCAAATTACGATTAAAATTAAACAGTTTATATTAAACTCATTTCTTAATCAATTTGTAAACAGTTCAAAATATAGAAAAATCAATTTGTAAACAGTTCAAAATATAGAAAAATTCTTTTCGTGTATGTTTTAGAGAAATATAACAATAAATGAAAACTTTATATAACTTTATAATATTATAAATTTTTAACGATAAGTAAACAAAATGAGACGGAATGTTCAAAAACTATACGCAAGTCTCAAGGAAATACAATCGATTAGCAATTTTGATTCAATTAAAAAATATGAAATGTACATTGACATTAAAATTTTGAAATAGATTTCGAACCTAGATAAGATAAACTTGTGAATTCCTTATGAATATTTGAAAACAATATTTTTTTAAAAATCAGATAGAATCCTAAATAAATTTGAACTTTTTTTCTATCTTATCGGATTATTATTAATTATATGACATTAATCTTTCATTTATTGTCGAAGGCATTTATTGTGTTTTAATAAAATTCAGTATAATGTCTTTCCGACTTTCAAAGAGAAAAAAATAATTCAAGAATTCGCAAGCAAACACAGCCATTCATTTTCAAAATAAAAAATAATTCGATCAATTTACTTTGCAAGTATAATGAATCAATTTTTAGAAGTAGTTCTCTAATTTACGCTCGAATTAATTACGCTGAAATCTGGATATTGGAATAAATTCCGATTCATTCAAGTACATATATTAAAAATGAACTTTCATCTCTAACATGATCTTGGATCTTACGATGATCGCATCATTGAATTATGAAAAGATTTATTGCATTCTTGAAGCAGGACTTTTGCCCTTGTTGAGAATCTGAGTGCTGAAATTTATGAATTATAATGAATAATCTTTGGATCAGAATCGACGTTAGAATGATTGCGAGTTATTTTTTTCAGATTCATCTTCTATTTCGCTTTCTTGTTTCGAAGTAATCACGAGGAGTTTGAAACTTACTTTATTAGTAGGTTCGAATCTATCCTGCGCGTTATTTAGCTCCATCTCTACTTCTGCTCTCGCCCAAAATACTCCGAGAAAACACGTACGCGATGAAAGCGCATCTACATAATCACTCTCAAAGCAAGACGCACACATTCAAGGATCAAGCTTGGCTATATTTGCGACCGTGAATACTGGCGCATGTGATGTAAGCCCGCAGTGATCTCAAGAGAGTCGTGATTACCTGTCGCTAATCACGACCTTCATCGATTTTTATATCTCGTAATTTCATTGTTTTTTTTTCCTTTTCCTTTTCATTCGAAAGCGATGACCGAACAAGTCTGGGACTATATCAGGGAGAAATGGGAGCACATTGACCAATCGGTGAGTCGATGATCTCTCCCTCCCTTAGCAGTCTTGACCCTTGTTGCATAAGTATCATGTGTTTTTGTGTGCAAATTACTAATTTGCCTTAATTCTTAACAGACACAACGAATCTCATGAAACAGATTCGAATGATCGATGCTCTATTAAACAGTGTGCAAAATTATTCGCATGATATGGCTTTAACACAAAACAAGATCTTATTATTTCCAAAGTAGTAGTAGAACAGAATGCAATAATAGTGAATGCGATTTCCATCTGTATGCTGCGAAAAAAACTTAGGAAGAAAATCGCGAAATCGATCGCATTATCTAGCTATTAATCTAATTCGTGAAAAGAAATTTATAATCAAGAAACATTAGATTTTACATTCATTTATGAATTTTGGATCAATTTCATTCTTTGCACACGTTTTAATAATAATATAATATAATATTATATTTATATAATATTTTTATTATTTCTAGTATAGACTGTTACAGCATAGTTTCCTCTTACATATATTATGTCCTGCATAAAGTGAAAAAAAAGAGGATTAAATCGTAAAATAAAAGGAAAATGTTGAAAAATTTCCTTGTTTTCTTGAAATTGATCCAAATATTTTTTGTAACTATATAAGAATAAAAAAATAGTATATCACTAAATAAACTATGCTCTATTTTTAAATACGTGTATTCTTTATTGATGTTGTAAAAATATAAAGTATAGTTTATAGGGCATATTAAGACACGCGTATAAAGATACGATTTTATTGGACAATTTATGTTTAATATGTGGTGCAAAAAACCCCTTTTTTATTTCGTTAATTTATCTCGAAAACCATTTATTTTATCCTTAAAAGACATATGAAGATAAAGAGCGATTTAACAATAAAATACTAAAAGACATATATATGTCTAGTATTTTAGTCTAGTATTTTAGTCTAGTATATATTTTAGTATTTTATTGTTAAATCGCTCTTTATCTTCATAAAGAGAGACGTAAATAATAAACAGTTTTTAATCTCTCCAATGTATTATAACTATATTATATAACAGATAAAAATATTTATATTTATTTTTAGAATATCAATATGCGTTTTATCTCGTAAGCCATTTGAATTTCGAGCCAGGAAGTTACATGCTAGGACATTGTACATTTTGGTCGATATTGCATTTGCCATACAACAAATTTTTTTAAGCGTATTGATTGGCTGCAGAATAGAAAATTTTTCGAGTTTCTAGAAAGCAGCTAATCAATATGCTTAAAAAATTTGCCGTACAAATATAATACCTTATTCAGCCTTATTCAGCCTTACTCAGGCCTGATTCTGTCAAAGGTAAAATGGCGGGATATTAAAATTTTATGGATGCGATATACAAATTTCAGCTGTAAAACAATGTTAAAAAAACATCTTTTCAACTTTCTGGAAAATCCACAGGAAAATTTTACACAGAAACGCAATAGGGCTACTCTTTTCATCTCTTTTTTCTCTACATTTTTAATTTTTTCGAGGAGAGAGTGGCATCTTTCGTTTTATAAATACGATTTCTCTCATTAATATTCCCTTTCTTATGTATGATTTGTGATTCCAAAATTTTTGGCGATACGATTGATTTTTTGGCTAGTGCCATATTGATTTTCCGTCCTCGTATATTCGTACTGTACTTTGAAAAGGAAATACTTTCAGATGGCGCTAATAACACACTGACCAAAATTATTTCGTAAGAATTTGTTCAGGGTCAGATGCTTCCTGATATTGCTCTCACAATCAGATAGTCGATGAGCGGACAGTGCAGTCATTCGTGCAAAGACTAGTTACGGATACAGTTTTGCTAGGAAAGTGTAAGATAGTGGAAAGAGTCAAGATTAAAGTACCAAGGTGAACTATCGAAATGAAGACGAAAAACAGATCATTATTCAGTAAGCTATGCAAGTGTTATAGCAAGAAAGATATATCGCGGAGATATGAGAACGAGGATTTGCATCTAAATCCAACGATTGAGGTAATTCACACGTGTTTTTATTTATAAAATATCACAAAGAAAGAATTATTATTTGGACAATATTATTCAAGAAATTTTTAGATATTTTATTTATTTATGCCATATAACTATATATTTCTTCTTATTGCACAAAAACTCTATTCTTTGTAAACGTGAGCCAAAAATATGGCAAAAAATACACATATTTTAATTTAAAAATTATATAAAAAACTTCAAGCTTTCTTAGGTCATTACATTACTATTTTTCGGTCAGCTGTTACATGGGATACAACATTTGAAAATTTTATTAATCTAAAATCAGCTGTGTGCTGATTGTTTGCAATTTGTTAATATTAAAATATTTCTTTGACAATTTTTTAAAATATCAAGATTAAATAATAAAATCTTGTAATAATTATATCTTAAATTATTATATGAAAGTTAAATTTTTTTATATTTTTGTATATTTTGTATTGTGTATATTTTATATTTGTGCATTGTACGGTATTTGTGTATTTTTTTACGTATATTACGTATATTAAAAATATTTTTTTTCTAGTAAATCATTATGCATTAGTTTCTAAATTAAATATTTATTTAACTATTATTTACAAAAATTATAGACTGTTAATTATGATTTTTATCTTTATTATCATAAATGCATACATTTAAAACTGATGATATTTATTCATTAATGCTGATATCTGAAAAATATATTGATATAATAATGAAAGATATTGATATTATA